AGATCCGACACAGATCAGGTGAACGAATGAAGCATGTGGATGCGCTAAGTAGAGCAGCTGTTGAAGAGCCAGAAGACACTTTGAACACTTTTATTGAGAGAAAATTTAAAGTTTGTGTTACCTTGACAACAGACAAACAAGTTTTGATGATGCAAAATTCAGACAGTGAACTACATAAATTAATAGAGATATTCAAGAAAAATGATGATGATAGATCAGAAGCTGAAAAAAGAATGATTGAAGGATATGTTTTCAAGCAGAATAAGGTTTATAGAAAACACAAGGTTAAGGATAAAGAAATTTTATTATATGTAATATCTAAGGCAATGAAGAAAAGTATAGTAGTCAGATTCCACAATCTCATGGGACATTTTTCAGTTGATCGAACTGTTAGTAAAATAAAAGAATTATATTGGTTTGCCTCAATGAAGCGTTACGTAAGAAGACATATTTCGATGTGTTTTGAGTGTTTGCTGAATAAAGTACCAGGAGGAAAACAACAGGGATTATTGAACCCGATTGCACCAGAGAAACGTCCATTCTCTATCATTCACGTTGATCATTTAGGACCTTTTGTTAACACTTGTAGAGGAAATCAAGAACTACTCGTAATAATAGATAATCTAACCAGATTTGTCAGATTTACACCAGTGAGAAGTACTTCAACTCAAAATGTGCTGAAAGCTTTACAGAATTCCATCAACGAATTTGGATTACCTGATAGGTTGATAACTGATCGAGGGTCATGCTTTACTTCGCATCAATTTTAAGAGTTTTGTGTCACGAATGGAATTAATCATACGCTGAACTCTACAAAGCATCCTCAAGGGAATGGTATGGTTGAACGAAGTCACAGAACATTACTATCTACGATTTATACAAGTATGGAAGATCCAAAACACAAAGATTGGGACTTGAAAGTTAAAGAGGACGAACGTAATTTAAATTATGCAGTTAATAAAACAACCAACAAAACTCCATTTCAAATGCTACATGGTTACTCACCCAGATTTTATGATGGACTTATAAGTAAATTGGCAGATGATGAAGCTAAAGAATATAATGATCCTGAAGAAGTGCGTAAGGAAGCGATTCAGATAATAGAAGAAAAAAAGAAAAATATGAAATTATATTATGACAAAAAAAGGTGTAAAACAATCAACTATGTTAAAAGTGAAATAGTGGTCATGAGGAAAACACCTCAAGCAGCAGGTCAACCTTTGAAAACTCAGCCAAAATACAGGGGGCCATTGATAATAACACAAGTATTACCAGGTGACACCTACAGAGTAACTCAGTTACAAGAAAAGGAAAAGGGACACTTTTTCACAACTACCGCCCTTGTGAGTCAATCAAAACCTTAGAGAATTCATCCAGACTCTAGAGATTCCAGTGACACTGAACAAGAATTTTGAACTTCATTTAACTGAACTTTTATTATATTAAATTGAACTATAAATCAAAACCAATCTCAACTTTTTACAGTATTTTCCTTGAAATGTAGTGTACGAGGCCTGTCTAAAAAGTATCCGACCTTTGGCCAGAAAAAAATATTTCGAATACCTGACGGAGTTAGGACCCTAATTCCTTCAAAGTAGGCCATTTGTGCCTGCACACACTTAGCCCACTGATCGTTTCACTGCTGGAGACACCTCTGGAAGTCTTCTTTTAGAATGGTGTTCAGCTCCGTCATCGCGTTCCGCATTATCTCTTCTCTACTCTCAAAACGTTATCCTTTCAGTGGCGTCTTCAATTTTGGAAACAACCAGAAGTCGCAAGGAGCCTGGTATGGAGAGTAGAGAGGTTGGCGAACGGCTGTAATTCCATGTTTGGTTAAGAAAGTGTGGATCAATTGGGATAAATGTGCAGCGTTGTCATGATGCAAGTGCCAGTTGTTCGTCATCCACATGTCTGGTCTTTTGCTCCGAACTGCGTCACAGACTGTCTTTTTATTTCTGGGTCGTACCCGTACACCCATGACTCATATCCAGTTATCACGGTGTCTATAAACCCAGGATCAGTGTTAGCGGTGTCCAGAAGGTCCTGTGCAACGTCAAAACGGAGGTCTTTTTGTTCCGACGACAACAACTTGGTATGAATTTCGCAGCCACTCTGTTCATGTTCAAATCTTCACACAAGTTGCATGTGCTGAATCTTTACTCACTCCAACCTCTTCTGCAATCACCCGCAGCACTGTCAAAAGACGATCTGCCATCACCAAATTTCGCAACCTCTCAACATATTAGCTGCACTCCGAACAGTTTGGGGCCGGCCACAACGCTGCTCATTCTCCGCTGATGTGCGGTCATCCTTGAATCGGTTGAACCACTCCTTAAATTGTGTTACACCCATCGCTTCTTCTCCAAACACCTGCTGAATCTTACGAATTGTTTGGCTTTGAAAATCATCAAGCTTTTGACAGAATTTGATGCAGTATCTTTGCCCAATTCGTTCAGTCATCTTGCGAGAAAACTAAATCCGACGAACACTACGAACAGCACCTTACTTGGCAACCACCAGCCAGCGACTTGCACAAGCGAACGCGGTGAAAAAATTCAAGCATGTCCATTAAAGTTCCTCCTTCCACTTGTTTGGCCGAATGTAAACACTAAGCTTTAAATTTATTAAAGTTTAAAAAGAAAATGATTTGCCACTAGATGGCAGTAGCAATTATGTGTAGAGAGAGTGTAGGTGCGCGCAAAATGAGCCTGATGTGAAAAATGATGCAATTACTGATGTCTGTAAATATTGTTTGTAAATAAATTATTAATATGCTAAATTAATATACTCTTACTTCCTCCTCCCCCCAACCGAGCAAATGATATACTTCCAACAATATATATATATAAATTTTTGAGCTCTAAAATCTGTGCAGCTTTCCAGTGGTTCTGTAACTAGATGGGTGAAAAATAAAATAATTGCTTTTTTTTCAAGACTAAAAATTTATTGCTTAAATTAATTTTTTCGCAACTGTGTATTTTTTATATTTAGAAAATATGGAAAAACTGTTAAAACCTGAAAATTATGAGCGTAAATTAAAATGCTTCTTTAAAATAATACAAAATAAATATGGTTTTAACTATACTTTCTTCATTTTATTTTAAAAAATGCACATATCTCACCTGTCAAAGTCCAGCAGCAAAGAACCTAAACCAAACTCTGTCAGGAAAGCAATGAAAGCAAAAGTACTTTTACATTTTGTACCCTCTTCAACTTTCCTGTACCCATATTTTTAACTTTATTTGCTAAAGTTAAGTTTATTTATTTACATAAAAAAATAGTATTACAAACAAAAACTTAAAATATTTCATGTGTGTTATATAGAAATGATTTTTCATTTTTTCCAATCAATTTTAACAAATTATTTTTTAAAGTTATATTTAATATTTTCTACACATATATATTCTTTTTTTACATGTGTAAATGTATTTTATCTTATCAACTTTCCGTTTACCCTCTTCCTCAACTTCAGCTGCTTTGGAATTGCCAGTTGTGAAACCTGAAAACGTTTAACTCTCTGAGTGGTACATAACACAATATTTAGAAACTATTTATGTAAACAGTGCTAAAATTAACAATTAAATAACAGTGTACATAATTAAAAGAATAAACATTAAAGCATAAAATAGTTTATATTAAAATAAACTTACTGTTATATATATATATATATATATATAAGTTCAAAATGAAGATAAAACAAAGAAAAATTATAGACATATGAAAAGGGGGGTAATAAATAATAAGTAAAAAAATAACAAACAACAGTTTAAAAAAAAAAAAGAAGGATGAAATTTTATTTAAAAAAACCGGAAAAAAAAGATGTAATCTTTTCTTCTGCTCACACGATTATATCCGCATAAAAGAGTGCAATATATATATATATATATATTTGTTTATATAGATACATAGGTTTGGGTATATACATACATATGTTTGTGTATACACATATATATGTGCATGTATTTATATTAATACCTTTCAATAGAAGGACACCTCCCAAATGTACTTTTTGTCCCTTCAGATGCTACAGAAAAACTGAAAAACATATTTTAATTACGAAATTCCTGTTGTATTAAGATTGAAGTAAATGAAATATAAATGAGATAGAGGTATTTATTTGAAGTAAATTAAAAATGAAAATTCGTAATTAAAAAAAATTTAATTTTTGCAAGAATATATGAAATGAACGGAACAGAATGAACAGAGTTTTGTATTTACAGAAATTATTTAAAATATACTGTCACACAAGCTTGTTTAAAAATTTTATATTACTTGAAAAATATACACATAGACATATAACTAAAATTCTCAGCATGACTTCACATCTCTACCAAGAATTAGAAAATGATACAAAAGTTTTTTCTATAGTAGAATTCTTTTCAATTAGCACTTCATCATTTTCACTGGATGATCCAGTTACCTAATGTTTTCTATAATACGTAACCATGTTACCTCCCCCAACACCACCTAGGGAGTTCGCGGATGGTAAAGCATCTGTTAACTACTAATAAAAACTCTCTGATAGCGGAATTTTTTTGATTGAACCATGACATGCTTTTTCTGTTATTTTTCCTTTAAATACAGCAGTCACAAAAAGAGGTTGATAAACATGCTGAAAAAGACATTCTTTCCAAATGCTTAGAAATCTATTCTCCTTTAAATTTGCAACACCTGAGATTCTTACTCACCACACCTATTTCTTAAATACCTTCCTTTATTTGATTTTCTTTTTCATACTTGTTCTCCTTATCAGACTTTTTTTTTTATCCTTGCCGTAATTTATTAATTTTCCCCTGAATCTCCCTGTGTTTCAATACTGAGGAAAGTTCTCTATTGTGAAACTCAAACTGCAATACATACATGTATATATATATTATGTAGAGAGAGAAGAGACAGAGGTTCTGAAGCCTTTTTTAAAATTAAGCGGCTTTAATTTTTTTCAGTTCAAATCTTGGTTTTTGTTTTTATTTATTCCCATTTATAAAGCTCTTTTTTAATAGGATGATTGCAATGCATTGACTGTTGCAATGGAAGCTGCTCATAAAGATATTGGTTTGCTGATATATACAAGTATGAATTTTTCTAGAGGAAGTTCACCAGTAAGTTTGAATCCTTTTTTTATACCATGTGAAAAAAAATTACAAAAAAGATATCACCTTGAAAAACTGTTCAAATAATCCTGTTGTTCTACAAACTAAGGGTCAATCTAAAAGAGTGGACTCAAATGTGCTAATTAATTAGTCAAATGTGCTATTGAGAAATTTATGAAATTGCACAGAAAAACACACTTTTTCACAATAAAAAAGAAAACTTTATTTTTATGAGTTTTAATAACATTTACCATCAAAATATAGGAGAATAGCAGTCTGAAAAATATTACCAAACAGTTAGGCAGGAGTCCAGCAGAAAGTTTAGACCGATTTCCACATCAGTTGTAATTTTTGTAGAATTATCATAATTTTATCAATGTCAGTATATTTAGCATCATAAGGTGCTAAATATCTCTAGCTGTTAAAAAATCATACAACTTTATCTCTCTGATATTTTCTATCCATAGGTATTTATGGCATGCTGGAGCTGTTTTTTTTTTGTTTTATCCATTTCTTCTAAGTTTGTTTTTGTATGAGGCAGTCCCATAACACTTAAATAAATAGTCCAAAAAAATTAAAGCGGAAAGATATACTTTATAATGTAAAATCTTCATTTGCTTAAAAAGTTATAGAACTGGATAAAGTTGACAAGTTTTGAGTACTCGAAAATAGGAGCACATTCTCAAGACTTGCAAAGTGTGTCTAGTCTGGAGAATGGATGAATTTTTAACATGAGAAATACTGCTACTTTTTTCACTATTATTTTTGAAGCAAATTAAGTTTTTATATTATTAACCCCTTCCTTCTCGCTCCCATGAAAATGACAGGATGAGGTTTCGCCCTCTATTTCTCGCTCCCGTGAAATTTCCAGACTGGAGTGCTCAGTAGTTACGCTCCAATAAGAATAAAACTAATTTCTTTAGCCCGTAAAAATTTTATTTCTCATTTTACACACCAGAAGACAGTACCAGGATATTTTTAAGGTAATTGTAGATAGTTAGTTTGTTTTAAACTAGATGTTAGCAGTAATCAAATAGCACCAATAAAAAAAATCGGCACTTTTATGACAGTTTTCTTGAAAATTAACCAATCGTTAAGGGGTTAAGACTGTAACACTGTTGCAATTTTGTTTTGAATTAGTTTTTTATTTTATTTTGTACAATATAACTACCTTTAGCTTTTCTTTCCTCATATTTAAACCGTTTCTACATGGAGCTGTAGTTTTTTACAAATGAAATATTAGATGACAAGACGTTAAACAAGCATGCATTTCACACCACTTTTGACTATTTTAGGCAAGGTTGAGATGATTAAAATTGCTTGATTTTTTTTAAAAAAGAATCAGTTGTTTTAGTCTGATATTATTGGCAAGGAATGTTTCAAATACATATAAAAAAATTTTATATGTGGGTTATTATTAGAAAAGCAAAATTTCACCACTAAATAAAATCTTTAACTAAATTTATACTTATTTTTAAGAGAGGCCCAAGCTTAAAGAATGACAATGTAATGGTGCAATGGTCATATATGCAAATTAGTTGAGTACCTTAAATTTTTTGTTTTAGATTAGACTAAAATTGAATTATATTTTCCTTTCTAGTTTGTGTCTGTTTACGTTGAAAAGTGGTTAAAGTGTCGATTAATAATTAATTGATGGTAAATTTCTCTTGTAACATTTAAGAAACAATCGTAATTTGTAGTATTGTCATCAGATGCAAATCTTCAGTGAAAATTTGGGCACACTAGCCAGTTGGAAAATGGTAGAAATTTTAGTTGATGATTAATTCTACTTGGAGAAAAATTACATTTGTGGTCAAAAATGATCAAGACATGCATTTTCAGCAGGCACAGAGTTCTGGTTTAGATTTAATCCCTTTGAAAAATGGTTTTATTGATGATAAATTCTATTTGGCAATAAAATGTTATGTTACAATGTTAAATGTTACAATGGAGCAATTAAGAAATGATTAAAACTTGTATTGTCATTCACCACTGAGTTCCAAGTGAAATTTGGGTGCTCGCTCTAACTAGTCAGAAAATGAAGATAGTGCTACATATGTGGATCATATCCACAGATGTCATAAAAACATGATTTATTTTTACTTTAGAAGCTGATGTATTAAAAACTAAATTCTAAAACAAATCTTTAAAACTTGAAATTTTAGATACATAATTTTATTTTAAAAAATTACCTAATGATATGAATTCTATTATGTCTACAGACGTGGCATGAGCACATGACAAAAAAAATGCCAACATTTTCAAATAAATATATTGAAGCACCAAATATACACTTTTCTTTATAAATCTTAACAGAATTGCTCTTTAAGAAGAGATGTACAATTTTTTGTTTGTATCCTCAGACATGGCAGATCACTCAGGGTACAGGTATTTAATTTCAAACTACGAGTACATTTAAGTTTTTAATAGAGATTTTTGTTTTGAGTCTAGCATTTGCAATGCATTCTTAACCAAAGGTGTTATTTATTAAGATTATTTAACACTCTTTATTAATGATATAGAAGGGAAATATGTCCGAAATGACTGTCTACAGATCGGACTAATCACTATGAATGGAAAAGTTTCGAACAACTTTGTACCAAATTTATAATTCTTATGTATTCTATGAGTTTCATTAATATTTATTACTAATTTACATAAATTTTAAGAACTTTAATTTTCAATGTAAATAACAGGTAGTAGAAATTCTTCCTTTTTGTGAGAATGTCAGTATATATGTCCAAAAGGCTGCAATTTAATTTAATCTCAATTTCATTGATAAAGGTCTAATACTCAGAGTAAGAAAGAGATACAGTCGAACTTCGATAACTCGACTTCTTATAAGTTGAATAATCCTCTAACTCGAACTTTAAATCAAGTCCCAAATCATGCCTTTACTTTTCTTTTAAAAACTGTCTCGATAACTCGAAGAGAACATCTTTTAAATCGAAGTTTTCTGTGATAGATTTTTCCAGATTTAGTGCAAGATAAAAATAAAAACGCGCAATTTAGTTTGCAACTTCGAAAACCAGTACACATTTGTCTTTTGTGCGTCAAACATTCTTGGAATGCCCTTCACTCTCCTTTCCTCCATTGCCCTTAAGGTTAAACAGATAAGGGATTGTGGTGGGAAAGGGATTCTGGAGTGTTCCAGAAGTATGACTTCAAGGTGGTCACTCTATTGGGGGCGGGAGGAAGAGCACTTGTTTTGTAAGGGGAAAATAGGGTTGGGTCCTCTCAGAACACATGTGCTCATTCGTGATAAGGATTCCCAGCTGTACGGTGACCTCTATTTAAGTCCAAGACGCTGCAGTTGCTTTCTTGGGATTTTTCTTGTTGATTAAATCAGCATTTTTCTGCCAGAATGTCTAAGCGTGAATTGATCAAGCTTACTTTAGATCAAAAAGTAAAACTTATTTCGAAAATTGAAAAAAATCCTCAGTTAAAAAAGAAAGATGTGGCTGCTAAATATGGCATTCCTCCAAACACTTTATCTACGATTTTAAAGGATAAACAAAAGATTTTGAGCCGCTTTGAATCGGGAGCCGACTCTTCCAGTAAACATGCAAAGACGTGAGCATTTCCAGACGCAGAAGCAGCACTTCTGAAATGGTACGAAACTCACCGAAGCAGGAACATTCTCCTTAGCGGAGTGTTGTTAAAGGAAAAAGCAATGGACATCGCTCGCCTGCTGATCGTCACGGGATTCAATGCCAGTATAGGATGGCTAGACAAATTCAAAGCAAGGAACAGGATCGTGTTCCGCACCCTACACGGACAAGCAAAGGATGTTTCAGATGAAACATGCGAGAATTGGAGGAAGAGTTTACCACATCTTCTGCAGTCATATGCACCAAAAGATGTGTTCAACTTGGATTAAACCGGACTCTTTTTTAAATGCATGCCTAACAAGACAATGATGTTTCGTAGTGAGAAGTGCTCTGGTGGCAAGCTCAGCAAGAAACGGTTGACAATTCTGGTGGGGGCAAACGCCAATGGACTGAAAAACTTCTGTTGATGGTCATTGGAAAGTCAAAGAAACCTCGGTGCTTAAAAAATGTCAAATCCCTGCCCATGGAGTACCATTCCAATCCAAAAGCTTGGATGACTTTGTACTTGTTCGAGACATACATCCGGAAACTAGATTCCAAGTTTTTAAACCAAAACAGAAATGTGTTACTCTTCCTAGACAACTGTACTGCTCACGGTGATATCGCAAACTTGTCCACGAAATTGGTCTTCCTGCCGGCAAATACAATTTCAAAAGTGCAGCCTGCAGACCAAGGCATCATTAAATGCCTGAAAACGCTTGGTGCGCTAATCAATCGGGGATGTGGAGAATGGAGTCAATGTATCAATGTGTTAGATGCCATACGCCTGATTTTGCGTTCCTGGGAGAGTGATGTTTCTCAAGCTGTGATTTAGAACTGTTTTAAGAGCTGTGGTTTCTTCAGTGCAAGTGTAGATGACAATGAAGTGGAAGCTGACGACTGGGATTTCTTTGAAGGCATGGGTGATATGGACTGGGAACAGTTAAGAGATTTCATGTGCATCGATGACATTACAACATCAGAACCCTTGTCTGAAGAAGCAATAGTGAGTTCAATTTGTGGAGAACCAGAAGGAGAGGAAAACGAAGATGAATCTGATAGCCTCCCACCTCCAACAGGCAAGCAAGCACATGACGTTGTTCACATCTTACAACAATACCTGGAGACCACCGAAGGTGCAGATAACATCCTATTTAACTGTGTTCAAAAATTAGGTGACTTTGTGAATGCCAACAACTTTAAAAAATGTAAACAATCAAAACTAACTGCTTTTTTCAAATGAGATTTATGTAGTATATATTATGTAGTGAAGCCAGATTTTATGAGTTTTAATAAAACATTGGACCCTATTATTCTCTTGTTGTTTCCATGTGCTATTAAAATTTTATAGCACAGGCCACTTGAGTGCTAGAGGAAAGGAGCGGCGGGGGGTAACTCCAATAACTCGAACTTCGGATAAGTCGAATATTTTTGGGGATCCCCTGAGACTTCGAGTTATCGAAGTTCGACTGTATATGTAAATTATTGATTGATGTCCATTTGAAATAAAGAAAGAGTAAATGTAGATAGACATGTGATATGCCAAAAAATAAGTATATTTATTCAAAGAAAGTATGTTTTGTGTTTGATTCTTTTTCTTAATTAATAATTAGCATATTTGAGCTCATCCTTTCAAACCATTAAGTCTGAACTTAGTTTGTGAGAATCGGATTATTAGAGTAAAAGTTATTCCTTTTTTTTCTCACTGTACATTATTTATTTCCAAAACTTTTCAACTTCTTTTACCTTATTATCAATTTAATTTCATACCCATTCTTCCTGACATTACAGTTTTGATTTTAATATCCTTTGTATCATTATTTATTGACTTTACCAATTATTTAGTTATGTTTTATAATTATATTTTCTCACAAAACTACAAATTCCAATTCCATTCTGGTATTAGCAAATGCATTTTATTAGTTTAAATGCAAACTGGAAATAAAATTTTATATCTGTATTAAATAATCTCTAGTTGAGTTATCTAAATAGCTGTCCCAATTGGCATCTGAATAAAAAATTAAATTCTTAGTAAAACTGAAATCAATTTTGTAATCTTTAGATTTAAATACATAATTCTTTATATCAGCATAATTTTTAAATATTTAAATGTAATCAAATAAAAGTAAAGAAGTAATTATCTATTTAAAAAAAATCCAAATTGAAATAAAAGTGTAGTAGTAATTTATTTATATAAATATCTATTTAAGTTAAAGAAGTAATCTGTTTAAGTAAAAGAAGAAATCTATTTAAAGAATTAATCTGAAAAATTGAAAATTATCCTACAATTGGTTTATGATAAAATTTCGATTGAACTTGTATCCTATGTAAGAATTTATTCTTATTTTAATTAAGAGAAATTATGGAGAATCTCAAGAGTTTTGATACTAGTGTTGTAAATTTCTAAAATGTTTTTTATGATCCTTCACATAGTGCAAACTGAGATCAAGTTCAGAAAAAACATTGAAAGCAAATTGTTGTATATTCGTGATTTTTTTTCTTTTGCAAAAAGTAAAGGTAAGTATAATTAATATGTAATTGCAACTTTTCTTCACATTCAAAAACATTGTTTACATGCAATAGCAGCATATGGTTTAGATTAACTTTCTGATCCATAGATTCCTGAATCTATTTATTTAATAACTTAAATTGAATATTTTATTTCAATATGAAATAAGTCATTTTAAATGTACAGTGAACTCTCACTTATGCACCACCTCTTTTATGCACCGTTTTCATTTATACAACGATTTTTATAGGTCCCAGAACATTAGGTAGGAAAATAATGATAAACATCCTTCGTTTATGCGTCGCGATAAATAAAAATTTTTCAATTATGCGTCGAAATTTAAGGCTAACATTTTAATTTTTTTATCCTTTAAATATTTTTTCTTTTAAAAAAAGGTTTTAAATTAAAAATGAAGCAAATAAACAATCCTTGGTACAGATAAAAAGAAATATGTAGTTAGATCCTATTGAATTTTCTTCCTCCTATGGCCGTCTCATTTTGCTGTTTCTGGAAAGACATTCTTTCTAGAATTTTGAATAGGGTGTCTTATCTGTTACACCAACAACAATGAAAGCCCGTTCATCTTTAAGAAAATGACCATTCCTCTTGTCCTGAGGATAGTTTTACTCTCATGCTGTTTTCTAGGGGAAAAAAAAGGACACCTGGAATATGAAAGAGACTGCTATCACTTACTTGCAGTCAGATGGGCATCATGAGTAAATAAAAGGAGGTAGTCCTTTTTGGTGACAGTAGTAATCGAACAACTTATTGAGCAGCATATTATGGCGTCAAGTACTTTTCTTAGAAATTTATCATGGATGTTTCACCCCCTCTCAAAAAACTCAATTTTTTTGTGAAGAACTGTTCATTCATATCTAACTTGTGGACGATGAGAACGTGATGGATGATACTGACGAGGATGATAAAGTTCCTCCAAATCACACAGAAGTATTAGGAGCTTTAGACGCTATTATTGACTATTTACAATTTAATTTTGCTTTTAAAACTCCCTTATCCCATTTATATGAACTGGAAAAAACTGTTTTTGAAATACGTCAGCAAAAACAAATACAAACATGTATTAAGATTATTTTGTAAGAAAATAAATTGTCTTTAGGTATGTTAAATTTTTTCTTCGTATAATTATAGTAAATACCAAAACAGTATAAATATTAACATTTTATCTTTAGAAACAAATTTAGTCATATTGTCACTGTAATTTACGTTGCGTTTTAGAATTTTGAAGTTTTTCACTTCAGCACTTTTTTCTGTTGGCCCCTTGCACCAGTGCATAAATGAGAGTTCACTGTAAATGTTATTTTCCATTTTAGTATTCAACTTTGAAGTCCAGAAAACGTTCAACACCACGATCTACTCCCCCTCCAAGAACTCCTACTCTTCGAACTCCTCCACTGCCGAGGTACTATTTTAAGCGTACATTCTAAAATTAATTTTTTGTAAACACATTTTTACGCCTATTAAGACTTGTGTTTTATTTACCTATAAATGTTGGTAAAATTTTTTTCTATTTATTTCCTAGCCCATCTGCAAGATCTACAAATTCTATTCCTTCATCGTTCCATTTTTCCTCATAATTCTTACAAATAGGGTGTTCTCTATTTACTGTCCTTAATACATGTTTAAAATCACTGTCCTTAACCACTTCAAATAAATATTAGAGTTAATGATTACAGAACACCGTAAATGTAGCAAAAGGTCAACAGTTGAAGCTCGAATGGAACTAAGCATCCGTCAATAAAATCTCCAGAAAATTGTATTTAAATACTTTTAAGGAAAACCTATTTTTGTAAATGCATAAAATAAGTTATTTTGCAATATCCATTGAAATAAAAATATTATGTATGTTTGAAAAACATTTTATTATTGTTGTGTACTTTAATTATAAAATATGTTCTAAATTCAACCCAGTTTGTGCGTCAGATCAAGAAAAAAATTTATTTCTCTAAAATTCACCCAATGTCAAAAAAAGTAACATAAAACAAAGTTTCTTCCATTCAATTAATTAAACAATTTTTGACAATATTTTTCTTAATTTATTTAAAAGAAATATAGTTTCCAAACAAATTAATACTCTTATCTTTTTCTTGTCTTATTTCAAAATCATGGATTCTCAATATCATATGAAAATATGATTTCCCTGCGCATTTCTGAAGATCGTCATAAAAAAAAAAATCCTAACCCTCTATAATCTCTAATACTTTATCTAAGCATTGTTACCATTATTATTTGCGTCTGTTCATGATAGTCTTGTGTCTATGGCATAAAATCAAAAAGAAAAAGAGATACTTTCAGATTAATTGTTTAAGTGTCTCTTTTACTGGTCTTGTATGAAATAAAAAGCATTTATATGTTATAACTGGAATGGCAGATAAAAATTTTCTCAAGAAAGAAACCAAAATGATACGTTGGATTCTTAATAGCTAAGAAATATATTTATTCTAATCACCATTCAATTAATGGTGTAGAGAAGCATACTTTTCCTTAGATGCCTAGAGTTCCGGTTTTATCGGAATATTTTTATTTAATACTTAAAATAGTAGTGAAAGGCAAAATTCAGTTGATATTATTTTTATAATTTAGTTAACACTTCAAAAACATAATCACATGTTTATATATCAGGGTAGTATGTCAACATTTAAAACGAGATAAAATTTTATATACCTTAATGATTTTAAAAGCTTTTGATCATTATTAAAATAAATGTAAAATTTTTTTACATAGAATTATCATTGACTAAACGAGTTACATAATTGCCCACAAAAATGTTTTAATTTCCAAAAATGTGGAAACATGCAAAAAGGGTTATAATTAAAAGAAACCAAACTTTCAGTAACTCTCCTGCTAAAACTATTGAGACCATATTTTCCAGATTGCAGTTAATCTGTAATTTCGAGAGGCCAAATCCATAAAAAAAAGGCATGTTTATTAAAAGAAAATATGTTTTTGTGCCTGATTTATTAATTTGAAATAACATCTGCACAAATTAATTAGAAAAGTAAAAGTCTCGAACCAGTAGTAAAAATCTGATCACTATATCAAGTTTTTAGGACCAGGTACACTTCTATTTAAAACCTAATATTTCATTAATATAATAACTCACGCCCTAATTTCTTTTTCCTTTCATCAGATAAATGAAGAAACAAATTTTGAACATTGGATAATTATTTACTTTATATATTACTTGATTATATTTTAATGATTTCTAAGACAAAACTCGATAACATTCTGTGATTCGTTACTTAGTTTATAGGACTCTCACTTCTTTCTACATCTGGCAGTTCATAAAAACAAAAATAATGGTCACCTTTAAAGATTTTGTGAAAAGAAAAATTATTAATAAGTCCAAGAGTTGCAACAAACTATTTTTTATTTTTAAAAGGCACTTGAGTTTAAAAAAGTACATAAGATCAAATGAATTTCAGGATAAGATTATTATAACATGCATATAACACTTTAGTGCATACTGATTCTCTAAAACTTTTTAGATCAGACATTATTTGTGATGTAATTAGCTTGTAATCAAAACTGATTTATGTGCGATAAAAAATTGTTCAAGAAAAACTTAAAAACAAAACAAACAAAAAAAAATGCTATTCTACATCATTAACATTGAGAGTAAGAAAACATGAAATCATTTTTTTTATTTATAAATTTTAGTAACAGACCATGTCAAATATTAAAAGCTACTACTCTCATTTGATAGTTATTACATATAAAAAGTTTTTAAAAAAATAGAAAACAATAAATTAAAACTGTTTGAAAAACAATTTGTCTATTATTTCACAAAAGATTTTGACTTCATGAGAATCTAACAAATGAAAAACTGAAAAGAATAGGATGTAAATAATTTTATTACAGAACAATTATTAATTCCTGATCCTGTAACTTAAAAGCACCTTAGAAAATAACTGTCTGACAATTAAAAAAAAAAAATCAGACAGCATATATAGTAACAGCAAACTTGCAAAACTGCGAGTAGTCAACAACAATATTTCCTGGAAACAGAATAATATTAAGAACTGATCTGTAAATAAAATACTATTTAGGTATTTAACACTTGTTATTTTTTTAAGATAAAAAATAGGTCATTTCCAAAATGCTTTTACTCTGGGAAAATAAAAAATTTTTCTTTCAAACTTTCAAGTATGAATAATAAGTTATATTAATTTTAAAAAAAAGGTTTGCTTTGAGCTGCTTATTTTACAGTAACATGCTTAATACTTTTAAACTTAAAATGCCTTGATATTAGCTTAAAACTTGCAGAATAATCTCATTAAAAATAAAAGCAGAAAAGAAAAAAAAATTTAAGTGAATATATGACACTATTTGAAACTAAAGCAGTACATATAATTTCATGCTATTAGATAAACAATTCTGATAACTTTACAATACTCTTGCACTGTTAAGCAACACACATTTAGAAAAATCAAAACATAAAGTAACAAAAATATCAAATATAATTAATCTAGCAGTCACATAAAAATATAATAAAAACTTATTTGATACATATTTGTCAACTATGTAATACATTGGTATTTTATAGTGAATATAATAGTATACAAAAAAACTTATAAATTACATCACATTAAAAAAAATAACACTAAAATAGGAAATATACTTTTTAAATTAAAGTATGAGATTTTTTTTTATCTGCTATTTTATATTGTGATTTATAGCAAACAGTACTATTGTTGATTTATAAACTTTTTACCTTAACCTTTACATTTATGAAATGTAAAGAAAAACATGAAAACAATATTTATCACTATAAATAAAGAATACAGTGCACTATCTTAAATTTCAAATATGCATTCTGTATGTGTGTTATCACTTCTTCTTTGAAACTGTTAAGAGTTTTTCTAGAGTTCTCACATTAAGGCACGTCAATAAGGAACAAATTGTAAACAGCTCATGTAGCAAAATAGGCAACAGAGCTATATTTTTCTGTCACCGTCCAAAAATACCTAATTTGCTTTCTACAGGCTGGATGTGAATCTGTAACAAATATATTTCACATTTTAATTGAAGAAAAAATTTCCTAAATACATAAAGAAAGATAGCAGTTTTCTTCAGCCCATACAATTTCTTTTTCCTTCAGGGTTTTGCATGAGCTAATCTATGTGTCTTTATGTCTACGAATGTAACATAGTTGAATTGTTACTGGCATCACTGAAAATCATGCTGGTTAAAATATAGGAGAGATTGTCTACAGGTTGGATCTGTGTCACACGACAAATGGAGCCCTCAATGAACATTAAATTAAAACTAGAAATGTTAAATTTTTTTATTACAATTTAGAGTTAAAGTGCAAATAAACATGAACTGCTATATTTCGCTATGCAAACCTTGCAAGATGAAATTATTGTATAACATTTTTTTAGAAAAAGAATGTTTTTACATATTTAAATAAATAAAGTATAAGATTTAAACATAGTTTGTCAATAATAATAACATGCAACAATAGTGTTATAACTCAGAAAAGTGAATTTTTGAGTAATGCAAAAAAACTGTTCCAAATTGCTATTGATTTATCAAAAAGGCATCATGTTGTAAGTGCAATAAAGTGAACATTTAAGCTACTGACTGTAGTTAGTTTTCTATGCTGAATAGTTGTTTTGATGTGAAAAATAAAATTGTTCAGTTAAAACACAATTGTTGTAAAGGTGCATTGTAAAGTTTAAGGTTGAAAATTTTCAAAATATGTCTTAAAAAGCACTCAAAAATTTTAATGCCAAATTTTTAGTACTATTGTAATTTCAAAGATTGAATCATTCAGACATTTTTTAAGTTTTTTAAAAATCGTTTCCATTGCAATGAGTAAGTGAGTTACGAAACACAAATAATTAGCAATTGCTGCTATGTAGAAGAAAAAAAATTAAAAAATGGGAAATAATAGTAATAGACCCTTTAAAACCATTTATATATTTACCCTCAATTCCAATCTAATTTTTAATGGGATTTAACTTTAGTCTTCACTGATTATTCTACTTCCCTTGTCTAAATTTAACCTGTTAACTGAGTATGACCAAATAGAATGTAATATAATGTAAGTTTAATATAGTGTTAATATGATACACAAATTTCAAAATTTAAATTCACACTTTTTAATTCCATTTTTTCTGATTATTTTTATTGTGGTTATTTATCATTTTTCAGCCCTTTCCTCATGTTTTTTTTTCTTCAGATGCCTCTATTTTCAAAATGCTATTATTACGCGAATATAAGTAATCCCTTTTTGAGGCGCCAGAATCACAGCAATTCCATAGACCATTTACACATTTAATACGATGCTATGACTCAGAAATTTTGAGTCTGCGTTATTATGTTCTATAATCAAGAACTTAAATGATCACTTTTTGACAGGCTTGATGCCTGAAGATTCCATTGTAAATCCCTGTCTATTTCTAATTGTTTTTTTTTTGGCACCCATCTATTATATATTCAAATTTCGATATATTATTTTTTAATACAATGTTATTATGACACACATATTTTAAATTTAAGTTATAACTTTTTGGCCTGCTTGATTTGCAACGAGTCCCTAGTGCATACTAGTGTCAATTTCAGATTATTTTTTCAAAAATATATAGTTTTCTTAGACATTTCCACATGGTTTTTCAAATTGTGATGTCTTTAAAACTATGTTCTTATAACAATGAAATTTTGAATTCAATAGCTTTTTGATACAATCTGTCAACAAGAACATAGTTGTAAAACAACGTTTTTTCCAACTGTTATCGTTTTTTGGGCCATTTTTACACAACTTTTACATTTTTAATATTATGCACACGATATTAATACAACACACAAGTTTTGAATTTGAATTATCATTTCTTGAAGCGAATGAAAACAAAAATTTCGTGAAATCATTAGCAAAATTGTAATCATTGCAGGAATGTCATGATTTTGTTTCAAATATGTAATTTTTTCATGATTTCAATGATTTTGGTAGACTTCTTGCAAATACCATATAAATTTTAATTAATATAAAATGAAAATATTGATGTATTTTTTTTAAAAGTTTTTGGCATTGTTTGTATACAAATATTACTTTTAGAAACAGAGTACAAATAAATATTTGAATTTGAGGGTTTTGTTATATTTTTCTAAAATTTTGTATCAAATTGGTAGTAAAATACATTAGTCATAAAATGCAATAACTACTACAATATATTAAAGTAGAAAACAAATAATATTGCAATTAAAAATTGGAAAGTAAAAAAAAAATACTTACTTCACTTAAAATGGCCCATCTCTCACTTTCACTGTGCACATAAAGCCTCATAATTTTAACAGGACCAACTGAAGTACTTACATTACCCTCCGCGATACCAGATGGTTCTTTAAAACTTCCAACAATTAAATAACCATCTGCAGTTTTGGTATAATGCTGATCATCAGAATATGATACTGGTAAAACTTCAACAGTAGTATTTAAAAATTTGTCATCAGGATGTTCAGCATTCCCACTTCTGAATAGAAATCTAAGAATGAATGGAAATTATAAATTGCGGAAAATTAAAAGAATATTAGTTTAAAGAACATTTTCTAAAACATAAAAAAGGCATGTGAAATAAGACATATGTTGGACAAAAAATTTAATTAAAATTATAGCTTTAAAAAAAATATTGCCTTCATATAGTCAATTATAATATCGTTCAATTATAGTTTAAATAAAATTAACATTTTAAATTATTTATGCCATAACTAACAAGCGATCCTTCAATTGAGAGAAAGCAAATGTCTGACAATTTAAGAATTCTCAACTTTTCTTTAAAAAAAAATTTCCTTTATATATGCAACATTTTTGTCACAAGTTAAAAGTTTTTTTAAACCCTCAAGACATATTCCCCTCCTTTTCCAAAATTAGCTTATTATCATTCTTTATACAGTAAAACCTGTCTATAACGATACTGTAGGGAGCTAAATAAAATATTGTTATAGGCAGGTTATCGTTATAGACAGGTTTGAAATTTAAAAGTATACGTTTAAAACTAATGATAAATTAAACTTCTTTTATAGGCTCCAAATGAAAATTTTACTTAGAATTATGAAACAGCACACAAGAAAAATTTACTTACAATTTTATGAATCAAAACAGAAATTATTTAGAAAAATAATCGGTTAGTTTTGTTTGCTTATTTTTGGAAGCAATTGCCATTTCCATGCACATAGATTTCAGTCCATCTAATGAATTCAAATGAACATCAGTTACATTTGGTAATGTTGCAACAAAATCTTGCAAAGTGTTAATTAGCAATATGGCATTCTCGGGTGAAATTCGGGTGTCACCCGTTTTTCTGACGAAGCTCTCTCCCTCCTACAATACCCCTTCACCCATTTCTACTGCTCTAATTTCCCCTAAAAGTGGCTTTTTTTCTCAGAAACAACGAAAGAATATTACATACAAAGGAGATGAAAAAAAAAAAAAACATTTTGTTATCTCACATTTAGGCTCGATGGGGAGTCGTTTTCCAACGGTAGAAAAATCGGAATAGAACTATCAACTATCAAAAGAGGAAAAATTATCGTTGTAGACATGTTTAACTGAAAAGTGGTTATCGCTATAAACAGGTTAAAAATACATTGAGTAAATAGGAATTTCACCGGGACCTCAAGGAAATATCGCTATAGACAGGTTTATCGTTATAGACAGTATCGTTATACACAGGTTTCACTGTACTAAGATATTTGGTTGAAAACTATATCGCATCATTTTGCCCTATTTTTTGGAAAAAATATTGAAAATATGCTTCCCATCAAAATTGACCAATAATTTTTGAGGGATGTCAAGCACTTAGAAAGATATATATTACAATTTTCTCATATTTCTGTAATATATGTAATAAAGAAGAAAAAAAACTAAATAAAAGTCATGTTTTTTTATACTGTAAGAAAAGTAATGTAATTTAATGGTGTCGGCCTACAATACACAAGCACTACTTTTAATTACCCAAAAAATTGCAATGCATAACTTTTATATGTGCATTGTCTTCACCTTTAAGAGCTTTTTCTGACCAACATCAGGTGTTGCTTGGAATTGAGAGGTGGGGCAGCAATATTTGAGTGCCCAGTTTTTCTTCAAAAATAAAACGTTTTTCTCTTACTCAGAAGAGTGACAAGCAGAAGGGCAATTTTAAGAAAAATACAGCATGAAAGATCAAAGAAACATTTTTTAATTAATATTTCTCAAACTTTTTTTAATGAAATATTCAGAAGATTGTATAGAAATTACTTTTCCATTAGGATCCTTTAAGTAAAAATTTAAATAAAAACATATTAAAATTTTTATTTATTCTTTTTCCACTAACATTCATGAGGTGAAGAGATTTCATTTCTTCACAATCTTTTTTTTTCATATTTTCTTACACCTTTTTACTTACGTTCATATTATCTTTTACTTCTTCTCTTCTTTCGACAAAATAACTTATTTCTAAATATTTTAGATAAAGGATATGTGAGCTTACTTTTAATAAGATTATTTCCTTTCGGATAGTATCATTTATACGGGTTCATGCAAATCACCCTTCGCATGACTAGGTATCATATATAAAACTAACTCATCTGACTTTAGAGGTTCAAGATCACATGGTTGTTATCTCAATTCGGTACTCTGTATTAGTGCGTATACATACTCTTTAGTACGTATGAATGAACTCGAAGCATGCAAGTTTGGAGAAGTACTCTTTTATTTCATTCTAGTGAGTTTACTTCATTTTTTGTTTGTCAGCATATGAAAAGACAACTGTAACTTCATTTCAAAAAATCAGAGATAAAAACTTTAAAGCATTTTGAAAAGTTAATTTTAAGTTGTAAAGTTTAAATATGGACAATAAAAAAAATTTGAAATTTTCACCACAATTGCTGATTTCTACCCAGTCTTAAAAGCTATAAAAGAACAGAAATTTTGCCATTCCCTTGTTTTATACTTACCAAAGATTTCCGAAATAAGTTAAGAGTTTTTGGAAACTTTTTGAAAGCTAAAGTTGGGTGGAGGTCCACTTACAACCGGATCCACTAAATTAAAAAAATTCCATGGAGAAATTGCCAAAAGAAATACTTCTTTTTTTGTTGAGCATTAGTGATAATCAGTAAATGTCACTAAATGTATTTACTAATCAAAAAATAATAGTTGAAAAAGAAATGCATTAATATAAAAATTGAAAAAGAAATACAAGGAGAACTTGAAAGGAATACTGTTAGTTTTTAAACTTCTAATTACGAAGGTCTGTGATTCTTTTACCCACTGTACAACCATTAGTACAAGAAATGAGGTAAATTTTTGCTTCCAAGAGCAGCATGCTTTATTTTTGTTATGTTGGCTTGTAAGTTAGTTTTAAATTTTAGTTGAATTTTCAAATAAAGAGCGTACTCTTTGGCTAATATACGGATCGACTTACATATAAAAATATACAGTAATTAAAAGCCGTTAATTTCCTAGAACTACTGATTATCATGTTTATTCTAAAACAAAAGTTCAATACTGATAAAGAAAGCTTTCTTTTTACCAGTCTAATCTAAAATATGTTTCACTAATATTGAATTTATATTTTTTGCTTAATAATTACTTTTTTATAAATATGATGTGTTCAGGTAATTTTGATTAATGGCAAACTATATAGCATCTATGAGTAGGTACAAATATTTACAAAATAATTAAATTACAGTATATATAAGAGAATGTATGAAGAATAATTAAATACCTATATTTTTTGGTTAACTTTATATCCAAATTGCCAACACTCTGATACATACCCATTGGCCCATTATCATACCAGTTTTAGTCTCTTTTAAAAATATAATCTATGACACTAAAAATAATGTAGTTGTGGAACGTCGATATCGAGTTGCATAAATATTTTGCTAATTAAGAAATAATCTTTCTGCACTTTCTGAATATTAATCTTGAGTATCTTTGTTTTTTTTTTTTGTCATTGTACCGATGGATGCATGTGCTATGTTTTGATTATCTTTTAAAGAATTATTTTTTTGCCATCTTATCACACTTCATGCACATCTTACACTTCATCTTATCACATTCTTCTTTCCTAACACATTATGATGTGAGTTCAAGAATTATGTCCAGTTGATATAATTAATGTCAATTTATGAAATATTTTTGAAAACTCTTGACTTGGGCATTATTGATTTCAACAATAATATTAACCAGGCAGTGTGCAAGTTTCATTCATATGAATGCAGATTCCCTCATTAACAATATGATTTCCTCACCACCTCTTCATAGTGTGTAGAAATGCTTTTGCTTTGCCTCTCTCATCCATTGCAGTTTTTGTTCACCCTTACTTATTTTTCCTTTCCTGTTTTACTCTTGATTACCACCACAGTTTTTCTAGTTTTCTTTTTTCACCTTTATTTTTCATCTTTTGATGGCAACTTCACGTTTCCTGTTTCAAATATCTTTTGACTTTCCTCATTCACGCCTGGCAAGTCTTGTGAATAGGTGCCTATTTTTGAGGACTTGAAACACATAGACTTTTATTACTATCTTCACATTTTTTTGAAGCAAATGAAGTTTTTATGTTATCAAGTACATCTTTCTGCTTCAATTTCTTAGGATTATTCATATTTAATACATGGTGGTTATAATCAAAATTACCCCATTTAGACCAACATAGTGTCCTTTTTAAAAGACAGATGTTGAGAAATTTGGTAGATATGCTATATGGATAGTTGGAAGAAGAAATTTGCAACAAAATTGATTCACATTTCAACCAATAGATGGCACTTCTCATGCATGAAATAAAGACAATAACACAGTTTAAATAGCCTGTAGTTACTGCATAAAAATATTCCAAGCAGTATTAAATGTTGTATTAATGTTATATTAAAGAAAAAATGAAAAAGATGATTTCTAAATACTAAGAGACTGGGGAAGAAGAGGACATAAGTGGTCAGAATGAAATTGAATTGAAAGCAAGCAAAATATGTTCTGTTGCTGTAATAGGTCAAGAAATTATTTATGTTAAGCTTAAACTTGCTATCAGTTAAAATGAAACATTCTCATAAAATTAAATGAAATATACCTGCACAAAAATTTTAAAAGTTTCTTTTCCTTACAAAAAAACTTAAAAAGATCAATGTTGTTTAAAAAGTAATTAATTGCTTAGACAAATTGTTTATGAAAACCATGGTGAAATAAACAAAATATAATGTATTTAAATATAATGTGAGAACCTTTCAATTGTTATTGGACTACGAAAATGAAATGCTAAAATATCGCCAGGTTGTGGAAGTAAGCTCCAAAAAAAGGTATCGCCTTTGTAAGCTCGGGCTGCTGTATAACCTTTATAAGATTTTAATGTTGTCTTGACTTCTGCTTCCGGATTCTGATGTGGATGATGAAGAGACAGCTTTCCGAATTGCTTATCCTGCATAAACAAAATCATTTTTATACCTTGTAAAAATAAACAGACTTTACCATTTTTAATTATTCTTAGATTTAACATTATTTTTTCATTCACAGGAAATTCAATTGTCTAAATTCATATTTTTGAACTCTTATACAGTTTAAGTCATTTTAGCAGTTAACAGTGGCAGTCAAACTTAACTTCTTGCTTATTTTAAATGGTTTGAAAACGTTAGAAAAATTCAAAATGAGAGAAAAAAAATTTCAAATTTAAAAATTTTTTGTACCTTCAAAATATTTGCCATGGTTTTATGGGTGGACTCTAGCAATTGTAGTATTCATGCTGATTTTTTTAACAAAAAAAAAGCACTTTTTTAAAAAAATATGTCAAAGAATACAACAATAAGTATAAAAATTAAGCAAGTACAAATTTTTGAAAGAAGTCCAACTTTTTTTGTCACTTCTTTTACAATACTTGCTTCAGTAGAAAACTCTTCAAAATATTAAAAAACTTTAAACATTTATTTTTCTTTAGATAATGGCTCTTAAATAATACAGAGATAAATTATTTATTTTTTATTTTTCAACTACTAACTACTTTCAGTTTGGTTACTAACTTACTTTAAAATGATGTTGCACTAATAAAAGAAAAATTTAGAGAAAATTAAGGTTAGGTTCCTCTATTATTTATATTAAAATATAATTACAAAAACCAATGGGTAAATGTTTCATATTACAAATTTCATGCTCTTTAATATTTTGAGACCCAATGACAGTTATAAAAATATTTTATATTACTCAACATTTTACTTAAATGGATTCACGATAAAAATGCACCAAGTTGATAGCCGTAATTGAAATTATTACACTAATAGTAAAAAAGATCGAAAAATATATACTAGATCGATACCATTAACAATTATGCTTTCTAGCTGCAATCAGGCATCCTCCTAACCATTGAAAATGACTTTTTTTTTTACATTTTAAGTTTTAAGTAAGTACACCAACTAAAAACAAAAAAAAGATTTAAACCTCTTTCCAAAACTTATGCTTTATATCTGTTTGAAAGTCAAGCTGTAATACCAAACTATCTTAATTGCTAAGTTAGTGAGTTTCAAAACCAGTCATCTCCATATCCATTAAATGCTAATTTTGATCCAGCTCCCAGTAAAGGCTAGCTAAATTCGTGTGGTTGATACTTATTGATAACTGTTGTTCTGTCTTTGCTTGTGACTGTGCACACTAAGTTTCTAAATGAGTTGGCCTTTTTTTTTTTTTTTTTTGACAATGGAGAAATTTGAAGAAGATGTGTCCCCTAATAAATCTAGATGAAAAGTGAGATTCTACGTCACAAAAATAAAGTCATAGTTGTATACCATCATTTACTTTTACTTTTTAGGTATGTACTATGAGGTAAGAATCAGAAAGTTGGTTGCAAAGAAGAGCAAGAAAAATACTAGAAACAGCAAGCTTGAGGCATTGGTTCTGGGTATAATGGTGAAGCCTCTGAAAATCTTCAACAAAACATTTTGGACCTAATTGGCATACTAACAAATGGCGAATTTCTTTTTACCAAAATATCTTGGTATCAGCTTGGTACAGGGGTAACAAAGATGAGGAACAAGATGCAAGAGATTTTTTATGTTTTTCTTTTTCTCAAGTCCATCATTTCTAGAACTTGAAGTAGTTAAACATACAGTTAAAGGTCATATTTTCTGAATTTTTGTTAAAAAATATTTAGTTAAACTAAGCATTGTTGTACATTTATAATCCTGAAAGCCCAGTACCTACATTAAATATACCTCTGTGGCGTGAGACTTTCTTTTCAAAGACAGACTATAGCCTCCTTCCTTCACATGTTATATTGAGCTTCTAAACACACTTCCCACACAAAAGCACAACAAAATTCTATCACAAACAAACATGCCCCTTAAACCAAAAAAGGTTCTGCTTTCCATTTTATTTTGGTTTATGGTGGTAGAAAATCAGTTTTCCCCGAAGATTTTATTTTACAGAGATGACAAGTTTTGTAACCAGGAAAATATGTTAACACAAAAGTATAATTTAAATAATTACTTCTTATATTATACTAATTATATAAGGCATAGAAATGTTAACATTTCTTGTATTTCTCAAAATTTATAAAATGCTCAGATGGTTTCATGCCTATAAGTATTAATAATGTATTACTAATATTTACAAATTCATATTTACTTATCAATACTTGTACCATGGAAATTAGAATCATGGCTGAAAGCACTAAACAAAATTCCCGCACTTTATCAAGGTGTATTTAAATTAAAGAACAAAAATTATTAGTCACAATAACAAAGAATTTTGGACAAGAATATTTTCAATTTTCATACTTAAGAAATACTCTGGGATTAATTTTTTCCGCATCCATGTTTTCATATTTTAAAAGAAATACTATGAGAATTAATTTTAAATTTTAGAAATGTTTAGGTCAAGTGAGTAATAAAGTTTAAAGCTTATCAATAAATATAAAACTCACAGAGGTTTGAAGAAGCGGGAATAAATTACAAATGAAAATAGTGCTTTTGACCTTCCTATGCTAAAAAATACGGCAATAAGCTAGTAACTTGCTAGTACTCCAATTATCATATGTAATATGCTGCAAAAAATTTCATAAAGCTAGCTCAAATATTCATAGAAATATGGACATTTTCATTAAAAACGATGATTTTTTACCCTTCCGTTTTCTTACTATAATTGATTTTTTTCCTTCTGTTTCCTTACTATAACTTCAATAAAATAAAACACATTTTTAGCGTAATTTTTAATTAATAACAAAATTATCATTTTAAAGTTTGAATAAAAAATTCATTAAATATTGTGCAAGATATGAGCATTTAGTCATACTTTTATACTGCATATAAGCAGAAAACACTTAAATTTTTTTCTTCATAATTTTGCTCTGAATCGCATTTGGTAACTTATAGAAAATGAAAAAAAAAAGGCGATTTAAATATCTTGAAAATGTAAGAAGTTTCAAGCAATTTTTTAGGTCGTGTTTTTAAATTTGGAAAGAAAACTTAGAATAGTGAGGGGTTTTCCACAAATTTTATTTTGTCCTATAAAACAAATTTTATTAAAAATTATCAGTATTATGTAAGACCATCCCCTATTAAATTATGTTTTATTTCACATGCTCTATTTCCTAATACCAACGTATTTTGTTGTATGGGCTATCATTTTTAGGAATTATCATTTGGTATTAAATTTTACTATATTATGCAAAATGAAATTTGTTGAAAACCCTTTATCACTTAGATCTTTCAATAAAAAATTACAAAATCTACTAAGAAATTTGCTTGAAACTTTTTACATTTTCAAGATATTTAAATCTGACTTCTTTTCATAAGTTACCAAATACAATTTTAAACAAAATTATGATTTTTTTTTTTAATGTTTTCTGCGTATGCACAGAATGAAAGGATTATTTACTTTAAGGATTAAATACTTAAAGGATTAAATACTCATATCTTATGCAATTTTTAAAAAAATTTGAGATAGGGGAAACTTATATGAAGAAGATTTTAAATGTGCTCCAAAAGTTTTTTCTTAAAATGAAAGAGTAAAATCTATTAATAATTAAAGAGTTTTGAAAAATTAATTATTTTCAAATGGTGCCTTAAGTTTCGAAATGCCCTCAAACTGCGAAATTTTTTTTTAAAAAATTGCACTACTGGAATGAAAATTAATTTATTCATAATAATTTGCTTAGATTTAGTTCTAACACGAGAAATAATTCACCTTCAATTTTTGAACTTTTCCTTTCAAAGAGGAGTGTGTCCCAACATGTTGAAACAATGATGGCTTGAAATGAAGCCAAACTTGGTCTTTTCTTTTCTTACAATCTTTCTGAAAAATAAGAATCATTATTGTAAGCTAAAATAAGGCAACATATTAAAGAAAGTACACTTTTTATTTTAAAATTATATACAGAGTGCCGCTAAATAAAAGGAGAAATCTGTACTTAGGGTGCAAGTTTTGTCTTTTAATTTTTTGTGCACAATGTAATAATTCAATTATCTTAAAAATCTTGTGAGAAATGCTTAATACGTTTGTCTATTTAAAAAAAATTTGCCATAAACTTCAGGAAAAAAGTACTTTTTTAAAGGTAGAAAAATACGGTTAAAAGTACAACATAATGTTGTATCTTGGACCATTGGCCTTTGATAATACTTATTTTTTAATTCTTGTCTTCCACACTTGAAAGTTGACGGAAATATTGTATTAGTGCCATTAAAACTTACTTTTAATGAAGTTTTCAAGTAGCCTACATAAACTAAAATGAATTATGAACCCAAGATCAAATAATATTTAAAAAAATATTTCAATATGCAATTTATTTTACATTTCAACAAAGTTGTCAGCTGGTAAAATTTTTTGTTTCCAAAGTATGACTTATGGGTTGAAACTAACCCACCAATATCGTCCAACTGGCCTACAGTATAAGTCTACCATACCAGGTATCTGATCTTGATTATGTTTAAAATTCTATAAAATAATAATTAAAACAAACATAATAACTAATAAACAAATAAAATTAAAGATTCGAATTGTAATTAATGATATGAATATTAATATCCAAGCCTTATTAATAACTAAAATTTAGTTTATGAATTCTTAACTTATTAGACGTACCAACACTCTCACACTCATATGTTTTTGTACTAGATTATTAAATCATTATGTTTCGGTATTCTCTATAATATTTTGTTTTTAGTTTGATATATTTTTTCAGATCTATATTACACTGTTCCCCTTAATATTTTATAATAATTATCTTAGTTAATAAAAAAAGTACCTTGCATAAATAGGACTAGTATGGCAGTCTTTGAGTTCTTGTGAAATTTAAACAAAAAAATTATTTTATTTTAATTATAAAAAAGTTTTTTTTGCTCTATTTTACTCCTAATAAACTTTCGCTGAAAGCCTACAAATTGGATAGTATGTATTATTATATTTTATAAATTTACTTAAATTTTTGTTTAATTTCAGAAATTTTTTTATTTTAATTTGCATTTACATTTCTAATTATTTCCCGTGAAATATTTCCTGTCCACATGACCACCTTTAACAACATTTTCATCTCTCTCAACTGAGAATGTAAAAGAAATATCCCTTTTTCCAGCCATTTCAACAGATAAATAATAAAATTATGCCTTCAAAAAGAGAGCTAGAAGTTGAATCTCACAAGATAAAGTGGGAAATGCCATAAAAATTGTAGCCATCTTTTAAAGACGAACACACACAACCACTGTTTCATTTTTTTTACAATACACAACTATTAACTTCTTGTGCGAAATTTTCTGTCCTCTGCTTCCAATAAAATTAATTCTGGGATAAAATTGCAAATTTCACAATTCCAAAAACAGAGCATATAGGTAACTTCAAGAAAACTTATAGCAGTCATCTTACATACAGATATTCAACAAAACACATTTCAGAACAAAAAAAAAAGATATCTTACTGCATCTTTATCAAAACGACACACTTTGGTTTGTACAACATGATCCAAAAGCCAATCAACTGGTTTATCATTATGAAAGATAACAAAAAATGTGATAAGTGTTGATAGATCAACACACTTAAACATTTTTCCTATAAAATAAAAACAGGATATTTTAATAGTGATAATGATAACAGTTTTAAGTATAATGTGAAAGAACAAGTATTTTTACCAATAAAGCCAAGTTGACAAAAATCAAGAATAATCCACTCTCTTTTTTCACTAATTTGCTTGTAGGCAAATTTTTTCATTGTATCAATATATGCAGGCTTTGATAATATATCATCCTCTAACTGAAACAGAAGTATAAATTATCAAGGAATGTCTCGAAGATGCATTTTCAAAAAAACAGATAGATACTACAATCTCCTGCATCTTTGTAACATAGTCGGCAACTAGTAATTTTTGGTACATTAAAAAATTAAATAACAATATGTATGATCAGCAGTATAATTGTAATACTTGTGAATTATAAAAAATAAATAATCATGTGAATAATAAATGAAAATACATAAGCAATGAGCAAAAAAGAATTATTAGCAAAATGTATTAGTTTAGACCCCTTTATAAAACTTTAGAACATTTGATTGACAAACATTTTGCAAAATGTTTGTCAAACAGATCCAAGATAATAAAAGGAAATTCTTGATAAAAGGTTTGCCAATTCCCCAAGATAATCAAAGGAAATTTTGATGAAATGGTTTATGGCCTACTTTTGGCTATATGTCTAAAATGCTGTTGTCATAAAAATGTCCTAATAAAATTATTAATTAATTTCGCTTCTAGAATAAATGAAAAAATAAGTTTCTATTTGCTTGTAGAAATTAGAAAATGGAATTTTATTAGCTATTAAAATTGCTCATAAAATCCCCAGCACTACAGCTTTCAAGTTGCATATCGACTGAATGCCATCACTGATCATACGCTAAAGTAGGAGTTTTCAATCTTTTAAGCTAAAGGGCCACAGCAATATAAACTAAAAAAAAATAAAAAACACTGATTACTAAGGCCCGGATTTTGATGACATTTGAATTTTTTTTTGCATTTTTGGACATTTTTTGTCCTTTAGAGCATTTTTTTAGATTTATAGGGCATTTTTCATAAAATTTTTTGGCTTATTTTGCATCCTAAAACATTTTTTAAATTTCTTGTTAATTTTTTCCAATTTTTATTATTTTTTTTATCATTTTTTATTATCACACTGGCTTCCAAACAGTGAAGAAAATCTCTAGGATATTAACAGGTGAAGCAACATCTTTTCAGGTATAAAAATTTACTTTCAGACAGGAGACGCTCGTTTACATTTCAAAATATGAAAAAAAATTTAATAATCCAATGTAATTCTGATATTTAGTAATATTATGAGATGGAAATTGTTATATTTATTAAAGTTTCTATACAAAATGAAAATGTTTTGGAGTCAATATATTTTCCTTTTTTTTGTTATTTTAGGATATAAAACATATTTTTCAAACTTTAATGAACAGAACAAGTATTGCATTGCTTTATATATTTTGAAATGACTCATAATAATTTTAAACAGTAAAACATCGTTTTAGTTCAATATTTTTACTTTATTTAAGGCATTTTTAGCGCAATTTTTGCATTTTAAGGCCCTTTTTCGCACTTTTTAAGGGCATTTTTTGCACTTTTTAAGGGCATTAATTGGGGTTTTTTAGGTCATCAAAATCCGGGCTCTACTGATTACACATCTATTAAATAATGAAATTAATAGCTCATATAAGATACTGCTATTATATTTATTCAAAGGTACATGTCAATAATACTAAGCTGACTAAACCTTGAAAAAAAGCATGCACTATTTCAATGTCACAAATGCTATCCTTATAATGTTTATAATACCTGTTTAGAACATTAGAACTAAAGGATTATCAAGTCTATCGTTCAGAATTTCGTTCAGTTATTTCATTTTAAGAAGAAAAGCAGTAACTCCCGATGTAAATGATGCAGAAAAATAGAATTTGTTACAATTCGGGATAAAAGCCTAAAACATTACGTTTGATTTTTATGCATTAGTAATTGGTTATGCTGAAACTTATGGTAGGATGTTAGATGAAATAAAATGGTTCAAAAAACTGATAGAAAATGATAAATGATGCCGATGAAGACAGTGTAATGGAACTACAGCCAATGCCAACATTTTCAGAAGGTCGTCTCAAACCCTTTGAAACAATGAGAAACTTTCTGTATTCAACGTCTACTAATTTACAGAAAATAAACTAGCAATTTGTTACAAGTCTCAAAAACTTATTATTCACCGCATTTTGAATAATTTTACAGTAAGTACATAATTTTTTTTATACTTTTTGCAAATTTATTTAATTTCAACACTACTTTTTTATTATGTTTCTCACTTTAAGTCATTGTTTTATATTTCATGTTGACTCCCATTCACCCTCTTTTTGTATTTATCATTCACAAAGAATATTCCCATGAGAAGTGATTATAGGTATAGAAAAAGTGCTGAGATGATAAAGAAAAAAACTATACTTTTGATCAGTTATTTTAACATAAAGAGGCTGTAAGAATAAAAATATGTTTAGTAACAAACTGCAGAGCCGAATAAAATAATATACACTGAAAATAATTTTTTGTCATTTTGAAAATATTACAAACTAACTAACTCCCTGGCATTACAGTCCATGTTGAACCATGGCCTCGCTAACAATTTTTCTCCAAAGTCACCTGTCTCTAGCTCTTTGTTTCCAGTTTCGGACCTTTAAAATCTTATGGTCCTTCTCCACCTCATCTAACCATCTCTTGGCCAGTCTTCCCTTTTTCCTTTGGCCCTACCCCTTGAATATCTTCTTAGTGTCTCTGTTTTCCTCCACTCTCTCAAGGTGTTCTAGTCATTGAATTCTCTTCGCCTTTACATACTTGATTATATCTTTTTCTTTAAATAGTCCTGAAATTTCGAAATTGTATCGCCTTCTCCACAGATCACCCTCTTTGACACATCCAAAAATAGCTCTAAGAATTTTTTTTCTCAGGTAATCAGCATTTTTTCGTGTTTCTGGGTTGGAGTTCATGTCTCTGATTGATAGATAACGATTGGTCTGATTATAGTTTTATAAACCAGAAGCTTTGCTTTCCTTGTTATTACTGTTGATGTTAGCAATCTCTAATGTGCAAAAAAATGGCAATTTCCAGCATTTAGTCTTTGCGTAATCTCTGGCATAATATCATTATTTTCAGTGACAACTGAACCCAAGTACTAAAATTCTCTAACTCTTTCAAATCTTGTCATTTCATTAATTTGTAGTTCTGTGTTCATATCTGCTCCCTTACAATCCATTATCATGTATTTGGTCTTATCAATATTTATTTCTAAACCAAAAAGACTAGCTTCTTTGGTTAAGTCTTTAAAAAGGTTAACAAGTGCATTTTTACTTCTTGCTATCATCATTACATCATCGGCAACTTTGTTGTTTCGTTCTATTAAAAATAGTACCACCTCTATTTGATATTGTGTTACGCATCAATTTTCCAAGGCATACATTAAACAACAAGGTCGATAGAATGTCACCATGTCGCAATCCAGTCACAATATCAAATTCTTGGGACATTTTGTTTTGTACTTTTACTTTCGCTTTAGTAGATAAAGTTGTCATTTTAATTAACCTGATTAATTTATGACGGATATTAAATTCGTGCAAGGTCTGTAGCATCAATTCTCTATTTATTGAATCATACACTTGCTTGAAATCAACATAGAGCTGATAGACATTTACATTCATTTCCTTGAGTTTTTCCAAGATATTTCTTATGCTAAATATCTGGTCTATGGTTGATCTATTCAGCCTAAAATCACACTGGTAGTCTCCAATTTCTCTCTCTATCAATGGCTTAAGTCTTGTAGCTATGACTTTCATCAATACTTTGTAAGTCAGATTAAGCAGGGAGATTCCTCTATAGTTATTGCAGTCCAGTAGGTTTCCCTGTTTTAAAATTGGGCATATCACTGCGTTGTTCCATTCGTTTGGCATCTGTTTATTCTCCCAGACTTCATTTACAAGGTCATACACCATTTTGAATAACTTCTCACTGCCATACTTTAGTAGTTCTGGGAAAATTAAATCCTCCCCAGGTTGAAAATATTATAATAATAAATAAAACAGGCTGCCTATATACAATATAAATTTATCTACATTGGTAACAGAAAAGATTCCAAAAATAAAATGTAAAACTCAAAAAATCAACTTATTACCATTTAATCTTTTGATTGTAGTAAACATAATGTATATATGTGGATTTAAAAAAAAGAAAAACTTTTGATCTTTACTTGTCAAATAATTATGAACATTATTTACTATCAAAACAGGGAGTTGTCGATGGTCTATTTTATTTTCAGCATTTAAACTTAAATTTCGCCACATTAATTTATGTTATACAGATTTTTTTTTTTTTTTTGCAGGTACATTTAAAACTTACATATTGAATTTAAATTTATTTAAAGTAATACGAAATCACATTAACTCAGGATACAGAATTTTCACTTGCCAAATATTTAAGGCTGGTGACTGGTGAGTAAGTTTCTTATTTTAAAGTATGGAGTTTTAAATTAAACTATCTATACACATTAAGACTATTGTGCTTTAATGATGGTGCATGTGGAAGTGTTTTGAAATCAAATGATGTTACTATTCTTTTATTTAAAACAAAGAAGTTCGAGTTACCCACTTTTCACCTACAAAACCATTGCTTCAGGAAATATTGAAATCTTAAGACAATATTATTTTGATTTAATATTTATTACAATTGTAAAAAATATATTTTGATTTTTAATTTTCTACATTTCCTTATAGTTTCGGGCTCCAAGAAGTTACTCACACTGCATCTGGTAAAAGTTTTAAAAATTGTACATATTTTTTATAAGTGTAAAATAGTTGCAAGCAAATATTTCAGCCTAGCTAGTATCTTCAAAACTAAAATTTCATGCTCTGCATTTGCTATAAAACTCAAAATTGAAAAAATTGTTTCTGAGAAAATTTAATACTTTTTCTTTCATTAAATTTAAACTAAGAATTTAAGAATTGAAGATTGATTATCAAGGCTCACCATGCATTCATTTTGAATAAGAAATTTTTTTTCATGAAAATAAATATTTTTTGAATTAATTCATTGGCAAAAAGTTTTAAAGAGAAAAATTAATATTTTTTTCACAAAGTTATATTTAAACTGAAATTATTTTTATAAATAACATAAAATTAGAATATTGACCCAATTTAACATGTGAGACTGGTCAAGCATTTTTTTTTTTTTTTGAATAAATAAAAAGTTGTTGTAAAATTATTTTGCTAGCAGCGTATTTCAAAAAGAGGAGATACACCGATGACTACCACATCATATAAAGGACAATGTATTCAATGTAGGTATCAAGTTAGATTTGGTAACTAATATGCAGGTAAAAAAACACCACCTTCCTTAATTAAAAACTTAATAGGAGTTTTTGATTTGACTGTTTCCACTTTTTGATATAATTCTATTCAAAAATGTTTAGCTATATATAAAGATAATTAATATGATACCTACTTGCACATAAAACATTCCTTTAGGTTGAGCATACATCATAAGGTAAGAAAAGTCTAAATTTTGCTTCGTTCTCCATCTGCAAAATTAATATAAATAGTTATTCAAACTCATAAAAACATTCATTTATAATTTCCTTTTACTAAGCAGAATTATATATTTTTTTTCAATAACCATTGTTGAACAGCTGACCCAATTTTTGGGTTTATGACTACTAATGTTCAACTCCGTAGCCTTGTAATTTTGCATCCAATTTAGAAGACTAAAGAACTCCTGGATCAAGTATTAAGAGAAATTTTCTTTCATGGAGGAAAACCACCAAAACCTCCACAGTTAGCCTGACGGCAAGGGGACTATAACCCGTGATATGTCTAGCACTGAGGATATTTTACGTCAGCACTGTGGTCGGTGAGAGCCGGGTGTGGAATTCATATCAACCAGCCATCACAGGGATTCGAATCCGGTTCACCTTATTGGAAGACAAATGCTCTATCCCCTGAGCCACCATGGCTCCAAGCAAACTTATTTTAAAAATCTGATCATTTAATATCAAAGTGAAACAGATATAAAAGATTTATAACTATGTATTAAGTGCAGTAAATTAGCATTATCAGCTTTAAGTATAGTTAGGGCTGCTAGTTTGTCGCGAAAAAAAGACCCAAAATTCGGGGGATATTTTGAAAATGATTCAAATTATAAATACAAAATTTTTTTTATATGAATGATGTAAAAGACAGAGATTGTGCAAATAATAAAACAAAAGCGTAAAAAATACTCAACAAAAGTACTTCTTTTAATTTCAGGCAATATCAATATTTTTATATAAATGAACAGAATCTTGGTATAAAGTATTGTACATTGTCAGATTATTTTCATTTATGCTATGTCGTTCATCACTTTATACATTGAAAATTATCTTTCTACGTCCACGCTGTTTGTAGGCACTGACAAACATCGAATTGTCCCTTTGGCCAATTTTGGATAGTGTTCGGTCTTTGATACCCAAAATTGGATCAATTTCCCTTCATCAATGTGCAATTCCTTGAACATTGCTTTGTAGGAATTAAATTCACTTATCAATTCTTCGTCATCCTCAAACATCAGAATTATGTTCAAAAATTGAAGAATTGTCATTGTAATTCAAAACACTTAAATATTTACATTGACTGGGATCAAAAACTTTAAAAAAGCTTGAGACCCCTCTTAAAAAAATCACAAGAAGCTGCCCAGTAAAATTTGTCTGGATATGTACAAAGGCAATAGAAATTTCACTGCCCAGTGCAATAGCCTGTATAACAGTTTTTCTGTCAAAGATTGGATTTATAAATTTTTTTTTCTTTTGTGATTCCTATTTCTTTTGTATTTTTACTGACTTCAGGAAGGTAATCCTAATCAGTCTATCATCTTCCCTAAGTATAGAAAGACCACCTGACTCGACAAGATTGGGATTATCACTTACGTCCGAACTATTTTCTTGTCATTTTTCTATTGATTCACTCCCCTAAATGTCTAATCAATTTTATATGTTTAATTTGAGGCTTCAGGAAAGTAAAAAATGCTGTTAAATAAAAATAATGAATTTAAAATGAAAAATTCTAATTTTAAGCAATTTTAGCTCAAATTGAAACATATTGAGAAATTCGCGGATTTTAGAAAAACAAAGATAATTTCGCGGAAATCATTGCGGAAATTCGAAGCCACGACAGACCTGCAGCCCTAAGTATAGTTACAGAAAATCCTCTTTGGTTAAATATTTGGTGCATCTATACATCATTGAAAGGGCTTTTTAATTGTTATCAAAGATTGAATAATCACTTATGTACTTGAAATTAGTGAATACAATAGTATCTCACAATAGTATGTTCTCACAATAGTATTTTTACAATATAGCCTGGGTATGCTGTGTTGAACCAAATTAGATCTTACTCAACAGTTAAATAAAAAAAGAAAGAGAAAAACAAAAAACAGAAAAGAAAAAGAAAAAAAAGGAAAAAACAAAAGAAAAAAACATTAATTTGGGTACAATCAAAATAATTTTGTAGGGGGACTGGCAAGGGTTATATTAGCAAACTGTTTACAAATTCTTTTGTAAAGAATTGATTTTCATAATTTATTTCATCAAACTCAGTAGTAAACATCTAATTCGTTAAATTCAAGATACAAAAAGTGTCATTAGATTAAGTAATAAAAGTCAGTTATATTTTTTAATGAATTAAATAGTGGAAATAGAGGCCTGGTGGTAGAGTGGTAGCATTTTGCACTCCTGCGCCACAATTCCAAGGTTCTATCCTAGGACCCGGCAAGGTTGATCCCGCCCTTTAATCACTTTAATGTTTTGATAAAATAAGCTCCAATCATACTTGAGAACTCATCTGCTTCTGACCCCCAGAGCCCAAGGTCAAGAAAACTGAGATGGACACTGGACACAGAAGGCCTTGGCCCTCCATGGGCTGTCAAATCATCAAGCTTAGTTTTTTAAAAACCTAAATATTGTCTGCAATGTATACAATGAAGACAACATAAAACAACAAAAAGCAATTAAATGAACTGCAAATGTAATACCATTTTCACTGTGGTGGTTTCAATGAACAATCACTTAAAATCACATAAAGTAGAAGAAAGAATTGGAAATGTATAAAATGGCAAGACAATAAACCTGAAAGCCAAGTTTCACCTATGAACACAAACTCCAAATGAAAAACTGATAAAACTACAGTATCCTGAGACAAAAATGTTATATCAAAATTAAGAAAAATTCTTTTAAAACTCTTACAAAACTAGAGAAAAAACTAACATTTCGAAACATTTCAACATTGTACAAATAATTTAAAAATTTATAACACTATTGAATCAGATTTAAAAGAAACAGTCACCAATTCAAAGAATGATATGCAAACCGTACAGGAAAGAGCTGTTTAAAGTTAGAGCTGAAACTTGGGGGAGAAAAACTGCAAACCTGAAAAATAAGAACAGTATTCCCGTCAAAATTAGAGAAATAGACATGATGTTGTAGCCTCACGATGAGTAGAAAGGATCTTTATGAATCAATTATCAAGCAGTTGATCAAAAGTTTAAAAAAAAGTAAAAAAATTATGGAGAAATTCGGAAGAAAAGCTGCTGGATAAAAATGATCGACAAAATCACATTGATTTCAGATGAAATTGTTACAAATTGAAAGTGTTAAAAAGTGATTCCTGAAATGCTCAACTCAAAATTCCGAGGTTATACTACTTTTAATTTATAAATAACGAGATTCTAAAATCTGTGATAAAATTCATAACAATAACTGCCCAAAAAAAAAAAAGGTTAACAAGTACTCTGTGAATTTAGGGTGGAATCATCACGAATTGAGGGAGTCAAAAAAGTGTTTACTCAAATGCCAGATTTGAATTTCATATATTGTAATAATATTGTATTAAATTTAAAAATTATTTATAAACTAACTTAAAAAAATAAAGATTCTTTGAAAAAGAGAATAACAAAACAATGAATTTACTTTGAAAATTGTCACTAATTGAGCGTGTCAAAAAGTAATTACTCAAATCCCCAATTCTAAATTCGCATGTCGTAATACACTTGAGTTGTACTAAAAACATGACACAGCAATCTGTAGCAATAATTGCTAAAAAAAACAAGCAAGCAATAAGACCATGTGACTTTACAATGGCATCAAGCAGGAATATTAAAATGCAACCACTCATATCAGTGATTCATAATTTGCGTGTGTTGTAAATTAAGAATACTAAGATTTTAAAAGCCATGAAAATATTCATTATAATTATTCTCTCAAAATAATTGGCAAAATTAATTGAATTTACAATCAAATCATTGGGAAAAAATTTACTACCCAATGTGCAATTTCGAAACTGGCATGTTGGAATAAAAATATATTAAAAATTATGGGAAATTTAAAAACCATTCGAAAATCTACAATTATAATTCCTCAAATATAAAAGAAAAGATCTTTCTATCTTCATTCATAAAAAATAAGAAATAGTTTACCTTTTTTCAAAAATTTATACAAAAAATATATAAATATTTGATGTCGATTTTTCTGGTTATTGTTTACTTTTCTGCAAAGTACCTGTGATGGTATGAAATGAGTTTTATTTAAAGAAACTGTAAAATGGCACAAATCAAACCATTATAAATTACTATTCTATAATATCTTACTTTAAAATGAAAAAATTCCATTTAAATGCTTTTATTTGTAAGTTAAACCATTCCTTCCAATTTCTTTATAGGGCTTAGTAAAAGCATCAGTTTTTTCTTCTTTTGAATAAAAGTTAAGTATGATTGTATAAAATTAAATTTTAACAACATATAGTTTTTTTTATATAACTTTATTCTAATTAATGTTTACAAATTGGACCAAATATATGTTAGATTGAGTTTAATTTTTACAATAACAATCCCAAAACTCGTTGCCTGAAAACGCTAAAGTCAAAGGCAAATTTGAAGTTTTTAAGTTAGTGCTGCAGATTGACTTTTTAAATTCCACTACCAGGGTGACCACTTATATACACATCTACATCTATTAACTATGGTTTCAACCAATTAGGTTGTTATTAAGAAAGTTCTAACATCAATCTTGAGAAGAATTCATTAAAAATATAGCATACATGCTATCTATCTCAAAGGTCTCAATATGAAAATGTCCATAATTTGAATAAATTAATGTTAACTGTTTAACGCAATAATTTTATTAAAAAAAAAATTTTTTTTCAAAAATTTGACTATTTATTAAATTAAACACAAAACAAAAAAAAACTGCAAAGTTGAAACAATGTTTACATTAAATAAAAATTCCTTTGTTTTTAATTAAACAAGTCAACAAGAAATTATTATGGTGTACATAAAATTTTTCGAATCTGATAAGCTTTAAGTTACATTAAATGGGATACATACTTAACTCGTTCTAAAGGATCTCCTAATGTCTGCCTCAGCTTATTCAAATCAGGATAGTATGATGCAGGGGGTGCAATTACTTCTAATAAACCTGAATTTATATGCTCAGAAAAGCTAAAATGAAAGAATAGGATAAGCTGGTTTTATTAACTGTGATGACGTAACTAAATTTTAAATTTAACTTACTTATTCTCAATTTCAGCCGCTTGTCGAGTAACATATTCTAAATCTGTCTATAAGAAATTAAAAAAAATTAACCTCAAATAATTCAAATTTTGAAAAATCAGATTTTAAATTTATATAGTGAATTCAAAATAAATCTGAATAAATATAGCAAAAATGAAGTGATGGGTTTTTAAAACTGAATTAAAGGTTGCAGTTGATATTATCACAATATTTTTTTCATCAAAACGATACCTTATTAAAAAATATTCCAATTCAACGAAAATATTGAATGGAATTTGTATTAATTAACATAATTATTTATTATCTCAAAACATATTTTAGGCTAATCAAACAAAAAGCATGAATTTGCAACAACTTAATATACATAATGTATTGATATATATAAAATATAGGGATGTATCAATATATACAAAGATATTGGGAAATTATATTTCTTTTATCACTTTCCTGCATTAACTAACTTTGTATCACCTGATTTCTCTCATACAGTAGAGCGCCGATTATCCAAACTGCTCGGGACCGAATGTGGTTCGGATAATGAAAAATTCGGATAATTGGAAAGTTGTTTAAAATCTAGTTTAAATTATTATTATTTATGCACTAACTTCCCTTCACACTTTTTCTAGGCTTCGGACTGGCAGTACTATCTAATATAGCTCTGGTGTGTTTAAAAGTTTATTTTTTCAATTTTTAAATATTTTTTATTTATTATTTATTTTTTATTACTTTCCTTTATTTTGAATTATTTTTATCATATTTCAGTTTTTTATAAATTTTTTGTCAATTACTGATTTTAGCACATTTTCCTTTATTTTCCATTGCAAAAGAAATCCCGCAAAGATTTTTGTTTCAAAGAAGATGCTCTTTTTTGAACAGCCATATCCCTTATTCTTTTTAAATAAATCAACTGAACTGGACCAACATCATTTTGACGTTCTATCCAATTCATTGCAATATCCAATGAATTGCATGCTTCTATATGAGAGGGTCCACTATCTTGAACTTGATCACCTACGTCTTCCTCTTCGTCTGTTAAGTTCCGATTTTCATTCAAAATGTCATCATCATTTAAAATTTGTAATCCTGGGTCGTTTTCAGCGTCTTGACACGAGTCTTCTATTTCTTCTGCTGTATAACCTGGCATCTTTTCATCCGGAAGATCTACTGGTTCAGAAACTTCAGTTTCGTTTGTTTTTCTGTTAGGAATTTTACTCCAATATTTAAGATTCCAAGCACTGTAATCACTAATCATAAACCATAAGTGACAACTACCTATCCCCCTAATTGCAGAACTTCAGCACTTATCTATTCATTAACTCCTTCTGTATTCCAATCATCAAAATGAAGCTCACATTCTTGAAAAATAATTTTCAGGTGAAGAAGGCTAAAGGGGTATGTAGGTTTAACTGTGTAACAATACATGTATGTATGGCTACTATAAGAAAACTGCTGAAAAGTTTGTAAATTAAATATGGTCCTCAGAAGTAGTGGATATTATTTATTCTTTTAAATTTAGAAAAATTGTCAATAAGTTAAAAAGTATTCTAAACTTTAAAAAAAAAAGAACGAATTCGGACATAGTTCGGATAATTGGATGTTCGGACAATAAGAGTTCGGATAATCGGCACTCTACTGTATTTATAAATAAAAATAACAAATTTAAATAACCTACAATTCAAAAACTTGATTTAATTTTTTTTTAGTTTCAATTAGAGAAAAAAATATATAAATAAATAAAATAAAAAAGACTATTAGCATTTTGAGAGGTTTTCATTCTGCACTAAATTTTATACTAAAACTTTCTACTTAAAATGCTTATTTTCAGTTAATGTACAAAAGAGAAATTTTATTACTGTTTTCTTAACAAAAAAAAATTTTTTTTTTCAAAAAACTATCTGAGTTTTAGAAATATATGCATTTATAATTACCTCAGCAATAAAAACTATGATAACTGCATCATCTCTTTCTTCTGGTGACATATTTTCAATAAGATTTTGTAAAGTTGACATCAAGTAACTCTGAACATCTCTCTTAACAGTTGGAACTCCCAGCACCATAGTAACTGAAATTATAAAAATAAGTAGTTTTTATCCAAAGACTTTAACTAATAATAATATTGTTAAGTATCACAAGATTACTTTCCAAACCTTATGAAAGTCAATTTTAAGTGTAATAAAAATGTATTAAGAAATGTTTTATTCGAGTCAGAAATCATAAATATTCTAGCAGTCTCATTAAAAAACAAAATCATAAACAAAACACTTAAATTAAATGATCATAAAGTTTTATTTTTTTAACATTCACTATTTTTATCTATAAATAAATACACAAAACAATTGTTACAGTATTTTGGCTTATACATTGTACGCTGTCTATAAAAATTACATCCATTTTGAAAACATTTGATTTTATAAAGTGGCTAATTTTATAAATTGGTATGTTTATACTAGAAAAAAAATTAAAGTTAAACTTAGCAAATACACTTAAAGCTAAACTAATTATTGATATTATATATTTACTAAATCTACATTTGATAATTCAGTTAAATATTAAATGCATTTTTTATTTATTTTGCAGAAAGACTTTTAAAATATTGGCAAATTTGTTTGATTAATAAAGTTTAATATTAAAGATTCAACTTGGTTTGAAGGTTTTTAAAAATGTATGTAACTTTCAATATATTTTTCTTCTTTGCCATAAATTTCCTTTTAATAACAAGCACTTTTCTGACATCTATTGAAGATAGATTTATCTTATTGAATAAGCAATGATCAGGACATTGAATGATGATAGGAATTATATAACTTTTCTTAATTCATAAGCAATTTTTATTAAAATTTTTTTACACTTCCTAAATCCATAATTTTTTAACTCTCATTATTCAATTTCCCAATGATGTGTAATTCACACCTGCAACTTTCTTCTTTTTGTTCATAAAGGATACAATGAAATTTGTCTTTTTATGCTTTCAAAACTTGTAAAAATAGAAAATTCTAAATATTCAGACAAAAAAAATCAGAGTTTTGAATTATTTTTAGTACAAGGGTTGTCCATGAAATAAGGTTCGAAAGGAGCTGCGGACGCTAGGAACGCTGCTAAGCGGGATTTGGTGAGACTGGTGTGTAACTTGGCTCCCTTTCCCCCAGTTCTCGCAACGGCGAGTTATCTACAACTGTGGAAATAAGTAATTTCCAGTTATAAACTTTATTGTTTTAGTCTTTTGTAGATATGTCTCCAGGATGGAAGTGAAGGGAAGTCAAGAAATAATCAACGCGACGTAAGACATCGTGTTCTATAAAAGAACGAACAATTCTTTTCAGAATGGATGAACAGCACGCCTTTTATTTGAGTCTTTGGCCAATGGCCTGATATCCGTCATAGGATTAAGATTGTGGATGATGATTCTTTATATATTTGTTCAACATTACAATTTTTAGATTTAAGTTGAACATTTAAAGTATTAATAAATGTGCTAAACATTAAAAGTATTAATAAATCCAGTTTACTTGTGAATAATCTTTTTTAGCGTATTCTGCTTTGTGAGTTAAACCCACAACAACATTAATTCTTGTTTTGGTAGCCGTGAAAGATGGAGCTTCCATTTGTTTCTCACACCAGGTGCGAATTACGCACTGATTTGTTTTCGTGTGCAAAAAACGTTCCTCCGGTGGACATTCATTTCCAACTGCGTGAGGCATATGGGGAAAAGTGTATGAGTGTGCAAGATGTGCGCAAATGGTGCAGAAACTTCAAAGCACAGACATCCGTGATGAACAACATTCCGGCCGGCCATCGTTTTCGGGCAAAGCGATTGCGAAAGTGGAAGAAGTAATGCTGAAAGATCGAAGATTCGCTGAAGATTGAATGCTGAAAGATTCGGGACCTCAGATAGATGATCCCTGATGTCAGTAAGTCCTGCATTCACAACATTTTGAGAGACCTCTTAGGATATGTCAAGGTTTGTGCAAGGTGGGTCCCGAAAATGCTGAGAGATGACAACAAACGGCAACGTGCGGAAGCCGCCCGCGAATTTCTTCATGTCTACGAAACCGATGGCGAGGAATTTTTTGACTCTGCTGTCACTGAGGACGAGACCTGGGTCCACTACATGACACCGGAAACAAAAGAACAATCCCGTTAGTGGAAACATCCAGGTTCGCCGAAGAAGTTTAAGCAAATTCTGTCTGCCGGCAAGATGGAGAATGTCTTTTGGACAGGAAAGGGTTGCTATTGTGCGAATTCCTGCCTACCGGCACAACTATTAATGCGGATCGCTACTGTCGGACGTTGAAGAACCTTCGGAGCGCGATTCAAAACAAGAGGAGAGGCATGCTCACAAATGGAGTGTGTCTCCATCAGGACAACACTCATCCACACACCGCCCGTGTCACAACTGATCTCATCAACAGATTTGGATGGAATACTGTCACACACCCCTTTACAACCCAGACTTGGCCCCCAGTGATTACCATCTCTTCCCTGAGTTAAAGAAACACTTGGGAGGGACGCATTTCACAACCGACGAAGAGCTGAAAGAAGAGGTTTTAAGCTGTCTTCGCAGCGCGCCGGCAGAATTCTACAAATTAGGCATAAAGAAGATGGTACACGGCAAGTAAAAAGGCATTGATCTAAACGGCGATTATGCTGACAAAAAAAGGGAAGTCTAAGCTTTTCAAACATGCATTATTCAATGCCAATAAACATGTTTTTCATGGTGAAAATTTGCTGGGAATCTCATTTTATGGACAACCCTCGTAAATCATTGGTCAATTTTTAAATCTGGACATAGTTTAATGCCTGTTTAATAAAATGAACACAGCTCAAAATGCGTGTTCCGGAAAACGGATATAACTTGCATAAATCACTAGTCTTTCATCAATGTTTCACTTGCTATGCTTTCATAAATCACTAATCACCATTCGCTTAAAACACTATTTATTTTATAAGACTTTTAAAGTCAACAGTTGTTTTTACAAGGTTGCCACAGGTGCTATAAATTTATAATAGTGGTAGTAAATTTATATTGTAGAAATTAGGAGCTTTAAAATTCATCTTATTGTTTGAAGCTCTGTATACAAAGATATTGCTTTAAAAGTTACATCTGCAATATATCTAGCCATTTCAATCTTAAAGTCCAGGACTTTGCCCCATAATTATTATGTTTGGTGTATAATAAAATAAGGAAAAGTAAGCACATAATTCCTTGTTTAGTTGTTAAATTTGATGCCCGGTGGCAGAGGGGTACTCTTCAGTGGTACTAGATAAAAGAGTACCAAGCATGCTTGGGAACTTAACACTGGGGGTTCCGCGTTCGGCTAACCACATAACCAGAACATCTGCTACTGCACCCCGGACCCCAAGAAAACTGAGATGGGCACAGTAGGCCTTGGCCCTATATGGGCTGTCGCGCCACTGAGTTTAGTTTCTTTTTTAGTTGTTAAATTTGGGTTGAAAATTGAATTAGCACAATTTATGATATGTCCATTTTTGTAAACACACATTTTGAGCTGTAACTATTTTTGCAAGCACACATTTCCAACTGCATATAAATTCAAACCCGCACTGACAATATGCCCTATAAAATTTGATTTTGGAAAACAGCAATCATGATTTTATAAAAGGATTGTTTTAATATATCCTAATATTGTTTTGATTTATTCTTGGAGATTTGATTTTAAAATGCAGCTGCTGTTCAGCAACATATGCAGTTAAATTTATGAAAAAAATTATTACATGGGTAGATGAAATGAAACAAGAGCTTGAATTGAACTAAGTGTTCCAGACTGAAATTACACCACATACTCAGAAGGGAAAATAGAGCTTTTCAAACAAAATCTGAAGGGAAAAAAATTAAAGAAAGTGTAGTTCCTACCTCAAGATATGGACACCTACATTTAGCTAAATAATATATAAATAAACTCTCTGAAGGGCTTATTATTACATTAAATTTCATTATTTTTAAAACAAATTGAATTATTATTAAATCCTTAATAGTAATTAATGACATGCAAATCATTTTGATAGCTGAAATCAAAGTAAGAAAATGTGGATAAATAAAAATGGATAAAATTTTGCAAGTTAACTGTCCTTATAAATCTTAGTTGAAAAATGAAAACTATTCTAAATTACTTAGTTTTCTAAGAAAATCTACAAATTTTAAGTCTAATAACTTAAGGTAATTTTATAATCTGTGCCAAATGCAAAGGCTTGTGACGCACAGCTAGTACTGACTCACAATCTAAACTACTAAAGGTATGCATACAGAAGACTTACGCATGGGAACCACACTGACTCAGAAGAAAGGTTGCAGGTTACTTTATTACAAAGTCCAAAGATGGTGGACAGGAACACTAGTAATTACATTTACAGAGCACAACTTAAACAATTACTATCAGCATGATAACACATAGACATTACAAACATATAGATTGACAGACAGGGATAAATAATAAATAGTATTTGCAACAAAATTCAAGTGACTAGTCTATTTAAAATATTGTTAACTAATTTGCATAACATTGATGCCACTTCAGATAAAGTAAATTTAAAACATTATGATTGGCTTTAAACTTGTAAACCAAGGATATGACGAAATGGAATAAAGAGAAGTAAAAAAATGGCATAATATAAAAAAACTGCAATCCTAAAAAGGGCAATACTCCATAAGGACAAAATTCCTCTGAACACTAGACCATGTACTCCAGTTCTGGAATGTAAGAGGAAAAAAATCTAAAACACTGAATAAGTACTAAATAAAAACTTCACACACAAAAATTTGGTCTAAAACCTGCAACTAGCAAAAATATTGAATAGCACTTAAGCCAAAACAGTTTCCCAAAAGTAAAACCTCTATAAAAGCAATTTTAAGTTCCTAACTGAATTTTCAAGTCTGAAAAATCAAAACCCTCAAAGTGAGTAAAACAAAAAAGTGAGTTTGTTTTTCAAGCTAAAGGAAGGAATTAACATGCAGCAAAAAAGTTTTTTTCAAGTTAATTACTCATTTTTAAACCAGTGCTAAGGGCAGGCTTCATAGTCAGCAAAAGAAAAAAATCAAGACCACATTTTTCTAAAAAAAAAAAAAAAAATCAAGACATTTTTTGGATCAGTATGCATACACCAGGCTACTTTTAAAAAAGGCAAACAAAAAAAATTATAATTTGCTCCATTTAAGTAATAAAAGAAAATTTTATTGCAAAAGAATAATAAAATATACAATTTTTAATTCTAATTATTTTGTTTAGTACAGAAAGCTTTAACAGTTTTCAGCATAATTTTATAAATACTGAGCAACTCACGATAGCTTCAAAACAATATATACATGGATAATTATAGTACTGTTGTACTAAGAAAATAACCAGCATCAAATACTGTTCCCTCACCTCAAACCAATTTATAAATAATATTTGTAATAGATTTCAAGATTCTTCTAGTCAAATTATTTTCTAGTGGAGTTTCAATAATCTTGAAATGAAAACATATTGAAAATGCCACATAACATTTTTGTACAAAAGTAATTTTAATGGATGATTTGTTTAATTTATTCCCTCAATTATCATTTAAAAACTCTATTACATGATTACTGTATTGTTGATTAGAATCAGTCATTACTAAAGTCAAATAAACAAGATCAATCAATAATTGTGAAACTACAAAACTTCCCACAACAAGATTTGTTATTGAATTTGATTAAATTAATAAATAACCATATGACCCCTGAATTCATCATCATAAAAATTAAATAATGCAAAATTGTCCATTGACTTTCCTTTTCATAGAATGACTTAATTCCCAAAAAAGATGAAACAATGGCTCTGGATAAGGTATGTAATATGCCTGAGCATTAAATTTAATTAGTACATGATCCTTAAATTAGAACTACAGAATTTTATGATTTCTACTACATCAATTAAAATAGAAAGATAATGGATTAAAAATTTAAATCTTTTGACTCTACAAAGATATTTTTTAAAAATCTGCATTTGTATTCTTAGAAAATTAGATGCTCTGACCACATACAAAAATCAAGAATATCAGGTCCGAAAACCTAAATTTTAGGACAAAATATTTTTGATCAGGAAAATCTGGGGAACTAAAAGCCTTGCAAAGTCTCATGGTTTAACTGCAGCAAGAATTCACCACTCTCTCCTGCAACTATATCTGTTTGGAGTACTGAAATAAACAAATTTAAAAACAGTAGTAGGAATTTCCTCACAAAGAAATGATCAACTCATTGAACAAAATCCAAAATCCCACTGAGCATTGGTGTCTTGCTCACCTGATTTAACCCTAAGACCTCCTGACTTTTCCTAACTGCAACAAGAAGAGCGAGATAGAGAGCAAATATATCAAACACATGGCTTATAACCTCTGCCTAATCTAAAATTCAACATAGAATCGATGCCAACATTTAACTATTAAAACAAACTACTAACAGTTCTGTTGAACTTTTTGTTTCGCACTAAGTTCAAATAATCGCCTTAATTTCTGATAATGCAGAGAAAATTTTAACTCATTAAAGTCACATCATATCTTTAATCCATTAAAAAAAAATTTCACAAAATTTGGTAATAATGAATCAAATCCCAACCAAAACTTCTGGAATAGAATAAAATAAGAATTTTGAAAAAAAAAAATCTTAAATTTAAATTATTATAAAAACCCTTTTCAGAAGTAAAGTTTAGAACCATTTAAAACAAACTTTTGTTTTGAAAAATAAAGAAAAGTTGGTGTTTTTCGATCCAAGAGTCATCAACTGTAGAAAATGAACTGTTTAGAGTTGCTAAAAATTTTGAAGAGTTTCCTGAACATAGAAGTGCTATAAAATATGTAAAAAATAATTAAATAAAAGAACTTTAATTTTTTCAAATAGTTTAGAGGTTTAGTTATGCATCTACATTAAATTGCTAAAAGTATTGAATAAAAAATGTCATAAGCAATCATTTCTCAAATTAATCCTTGCAGTTAGAGAATTATTTTGAAAATATTTCTCTTTATGAAAAAGTTTACTTTATTTGCTTTCAAAGATATTTTGCCGTTTCGAAGAAAAAAAAAGAATAAACACAAAATAAATGGATTTACACACGGGCAAATAAATAAATTTTCTATTCAATAAATTTTTAATAACTAGGATTTTAAAAAAATAATTTTTTTGTTGTTGTTTAAACCAGTTTTTCTTTCTTTCTTGGTTTAAACCAGTTTGGTTTTTATTATTTAAAAAAAGAAGGTTAAATAACATTTAAGCTCTAAATTAAAAGCAACTAAGCCATTAAAAAGTATTTCACAGAAATCTCTTCAACTATCGATTAATATTTGAATTAAGAATACAAAAATATTTACTTTTATTCATGAATATGTATGTGTACATGACTAAAAAATATAATAACTAAAGATCTTGAATATTTAATATAACTCTACTCAACAAAATAAACATTTAATATCTAAAAGCTTTTTTTAATAGTACATGTATTTAAAAGTTAGCTTACCTCCTTGACTGTTAGTATATAAAGAAATGTTGTAATTTAGAATTGTTTACATTAATGTCCTTATTGAGCAGTATACAATTTGTAGTACTAATATCAATTAATTGTTCTAAAATAAACTTTTGTTTTTTATTTATTGAATCAAAACAAATTTTAATATAAATGAGCATGAGATATTCAAGGCAATACATTTTTTTAATTAAAAAATATTTAAAATTCATAGATTGATAAAAAGAAATGAAAAATGAACAGCATAAATATAAACACATAAAATAGTAAAGGTATGCAACGGTATTTCAACTAACAATTTGAAAAATTAAAAAAAATTTACTTTTTCGTAAGATGATGGAGTTTTAAATTTAACAAAATGCTTATTAATGAAATGCTTTATTAAACAAATAAGAAAAAATACTTTAAAAATATTTTTTGTGACTTACTTTTACTTTAAAAGTTTTTTATTTATTTTATTTTTAGTATAATATGACACATGTGACTTAAATATTATAATTATAAATATTAACATACTGCAAATACATAATACAAATCTCCTTATACTGGTGGCAGAAAATAATTTCAAAATTAAACTGAAAAAATAAAATTTAGGAAACATCTCATTCCCATTTATACTTTTGATTGTGGCAAACATAATGTACTTAACAAGTAGATAAAAATAAACCTTGAGAAAATTGAACTCTTCCAATAATTACAATGAACTAATTAAAAAAATTACAGAACATGGGACCTCTATTTAATTTTACATATTTTTAAGAGACATTAACTCCCATTGAAATTTGATCACATTATTTAGCATCAGGGATGGCAAGTTTCTTCCACAATAAAAAAAAAAAAAAAAAACACCTTAAAAAGAAGCTTGCTTCTTCCAACCAAAGTGGAAGAAGCTCTTCTCAAAAAGAAATATCTAAACAATTTTTTAAATAGTTTAAAATTGCAATCAAGTTTAAATAATTGTATTAATTTTTGAGCTAATGCATCATTTTTAAATTAGTGAAAAATTCTGAAAATTTTTTTTGTACATTTTTTAAAAATTAGTTTTTCAATATTTTATGTTAAAAATTATAGTAAAACTAAATTTTATAATTATATAAAGAATAATTAAAATAACATAATCAAAATTTTTATTAATACCACCAAATTAACAAATCATGTGATAACATAAATCCTACAGTAAACAGATATTCAATTCTCAATTACAAATAGAATGCTAACTAAATAACATTAAATATGAACACTCAAATCAACTCTAGAATAATATATATANCTAATAAATAAATAATTAAGAAAAGTTTTTTCTCAAAAAAGGCAAATGTAATAAACTTTAAACTTTTTGTTACTATATTACATTTATTTTATTTAAATTTTAATTATTCTTATAATACTTATTGTTAAAGAATTGCATTGGTCATTTTTAGTTTCTTAAATTTTGTCTAATTTCTTCAAATTTTTTCTAGTTTCCTCAATCCTGAAAAAAATAGGTTGCTTCTGAGCGAAATGCCAATGCTGTTTTACATAGATATTTTTGTGGAAAACCATTTCTATGTGAACATTTTAAAATTACAGATTTATTTGAAATAACACAAATTCCCATTAGCAATGAAACTCAAAATTTTAAAAAATATAAGAAAATTTGAAATTTTTTTCATTTTGCTACAATCAAACCAGAGGAATTTATATAAATAATAGAAAATTCAGTTATAACAAGACAGTTTGGTTTAAATCCCATTGGTTGTAACCAGTCAACTCTCTTAATAACTTAGTGTTTCTCTAACTTCCGATATTTTTCAAGATTTTCTGTATTTTGTGGGGATTTATTTTTTTTTAAAAATTAAAGCGTTGAATAAAAATTATCAATCTACTAACCAGCACTTCTTCCTCTAGATAACTTTATTGCAGGAGATAAGCTATCAGAAGAACTGAGTAAATGAGGTAAAAAGTGATGAATTGATGGTAGTTGCAGATCCACACCACCTTGAATGCCTGCTAAAAACTGTTGAGAATCCCTCAATAGAGAATTAAGAGATAATGAATTATTGGCAGAATCAGTCTTACTACTAGCTGCATTTAATAAAGTGCCAAAATGCTTCCTGAGAGTAAAGATATCACTTCGTCTTTCCAAATTGAGCATTTCAGCATGCTTTAATCTTGCATACAATTCAACAATTTTTTTATTTAAAACATGTTCTTCAGACAAATCTGAAAAAAAAAGGAAACTCATTATAATAAAAAAAAACAGCTTTGCGATATTTATTATTATTATTATTCAATAATTCAAAAAAATCAAAATTTGACAATACTCTTAGAGTTGCTTGCTAAATTCAGAGTTTAAACAGAGCGCAGATGAAAAACTCTGAATAGTTAAAGATTTTTTCAGGAACTTCTCACATTTTTTTTATACATGTTTCCTTCAGTTAGTAAAGACAATATAATTTCAATGACCTATAAGAGGGAGGGGGAAATAATTTGAGCAAAATTCTCTTTGTAATTTTATAGTTTGTGATAAATTTGCGTAGTATTCATAATATTGCTTACATGGAAATGGTTAAGCTAAGAGTGATATTATCACTCTCAGGTTTAAACCACTGATTCTCAACAGGGGAGGGGGGACTTCTTTTGGGCAGTAGGGGGGCGGTAAGTGCGGCGATAAGCATTCAAATTAAATTAAAATTAATTATTAAAGTAAAATTAATTATTAAAGTAGGGCTAATTATTAAATTAAAATTAATTTAATGAATAAAGTAAATCAAAAATTATTATTAATAAAAATAATTAGATTAATATAATAAATTAAAATTATCCGATACACCATTTGTACCAGCAGTAAAACGAACTTATGTAACAACTATTCTCCAATCCAAACTATCGCAGGGCATGAGTGAGTTGTTCTTGCTTCTGACTCATTCAAGCCATTTGGCAAAAATTGAAGTGCATGCGCTTTCAGTATGAATGTTTGATTTGATCCGTGTTTCTTATGATGGTTTTCGTTCGCTCCCTTTAAGTTTTTTCCCCAGTTTTGATTGAATTTCATTGATTATTAGACTAGGTACTTGCGCGAATTTGTTCTTCAGCATAAATTATTTATTAATTTTAAGATATAGTTTATTTTCTTTCCTCGCTTGTATTTTGCTGCTGCCTACAATGTTGGTTAATAAAAAAAGTGTCGTCAAAACAGTGCCACATACTTGAAGTTCGGATTCGGAACAATACAGTGTTGCAACCGATTAATGAGATGGCTGAAGACATTGAAGTTTCCACATGCAAACTTTTGATGCCCAACGTATTGCCAACATTGCAAAGTAATGAGGCTTTACTGTTGGCGTACTTCCAATTTATGAAGGAATGAAAAATTATTCACGAGATGCTTTTTGCAAAAAACCTGATTGAAGATACCGAAGGTAAATCTATTTTTAATACTGTCAGAGATTATTTTAAAGAGAAAAGCATTCCTCTTTCAAATATTGTGTCTGTTGCCACTGATGGAGCTACTGCAATGGTTGGTTGACATTGTAGGTTTAATCCCATTTTGAAGAGGGAGGTACCCCTCCCAAGACAAAGATACCTAGAAAACTCCTCCCATAATTGATGGCCAAGTACAAGATATTTTAGCTGTCCACTGCGTGATTCACAGACAGCATTTAGTTGGAAAAAATCTCAGAGACCATTTGCATCAGTCATTGCAATATGTTGATCTCTGCTGTGATGAAAATTCACAGTAATACTCTCAACGATTGATTATTCTGAGAGCTGTGCAAGAAAAACGATGAAAAATTCAATCGCTTGCTACTACATACTGAGATTCGCAAGCTTTCCAAAAACGCCTGTCTCAATAGGTTTTGGAATATTTTCAACTCTGTGCTAGAGTTCCTTGAATACATGACGGATTTATTTGTAAAATTTAATGGTGTTAATTTACAATTTCAAGGCGACGAGCTCAATTTGATCACTACAAAATCAGCTTTTTCTGCCTTTCTAAAAAAACTCATTTTGTGGAAGCAGAATTTTAGTAGGAATAAGTTTAGCCAATTTCCAATCTTATTGGAATAAAGAATATTGTAATCACCTTGAGTATTTGTACATTGAATTTTCTGACATTTTAAAGATGTTTTGTCCCTGGAAGTCCCTTAATGGGTTACGAACCCTTTTGTGAATATTGAAATAGCAGAGGTTCAGATTCAGAAGGAATTGATAGAACTCTCAACTAATGAAGCTTTGAAATAGTAATCGTCTTACAGAATTTTGACTTCAAGGTAGCATTTAATAGCCTTCCTTTCCTTCTACCTTGTGGAATGAAGATTCAGTGATGTGACGTATCTAGTCACAAACAATTGACTCAAAATTGTGCAAAGAGGGGACTAGCGTCTTCGCCTCATTGAAAATATTGAACCAAACGTTAAGTATCTGGCCCTGCACAATCATCCCACTGACATCTATCTTATTAAGAATAAATTACTCTTATTAAGCATAGGTTTCTCAGGTGTATTTTTTTCAATACCGTAATTATTTTGATTGTAACAAATAGATTGCAATTACTTGCCTTAAAAATTTTGCCTCTTTTAATTCAGCACACATCCCTCCCTCCCATGCTCTAAATAACTGGATTTTCACAAAGGGGGGCATTGAGATTTTTTCTGATCCTTAGGGGGGCGGCAACGTAAAAAAGGTTCAGAATCTATGGTTTAAACCATAGTTAAAACCAAATGGTTTCTTCCTCAAAAAAACCATTTGGTTTTTTTCCCTAAGAATAATTTAAAATTGCATTTTTTTTATTTATTTACAATTATATTTTTCAAATTGTTTGATGTTGTAAATAACTTCAACTTTCAACCAAACAACTCAACTCATTTCAGCAGCATACCTACTTTTGTTTTGTGTATTCATAATATTGATTAACGTTAATATTTAAGAACAAAAATGTCCAACTCTGGTGGTAGAAGAAAAGATTTAATCTGGTTATATTTTGATGAAATAAAAAATGATAAAAAGAAAGCATGCAGGGCTTTATGTAAAAAATGTAATGCCATCAGGGGTCTGCCAGACAGACCCCAGACAATCATCCTAGCTTTGGAAATTTTGATAATAAAAAAATAATAGTAATAATTGCTATATAGTCAATACATATTTGAATAGGCAGCATAAGATAACAAATTATAATTAAAAAATACCACAACCTTTCTAGGACGTTTTGTCTTCTTCTGTAGAACTCCAGTTCATTTTATAAAATTTTATTTAAGAAACATCAGTATAAGATTATCAATAAAAAAATCATGAACTTTTTTCAAAATTAAAAATACATTCAAAATATTATATTTGAAAAAATATTATAAAGCTGCAATGTAGGTAGTCAGAGAGATATGGTTGATTCTTATTCGAATAATAAAACCAAGTGATTGGTGAGCAATTCAAGGGAAATTTTTTTACCTTTCATTTCTCCATTATTTTAATGAAAGAAAAGATGTGGAAAATTAATTGAAAAAAATCTTAAAATATGACATTTTAGTGTGGTGTATTTGGATGTAAAAAAGCTTTACTTTTAAACAATCATATGAGTAAATATAGGAAAGTAAGAAAACAATTTAAACACAAAGATATAAAAATGCGAATTATTAAAACATCAACCTGGTTTAAACCAAAAAAAATGGGCTTTTTGGGTTTTTCCCAAAAAACCTGGTTCTTTGCCAACCCTGAGTGATAGTGAAGAAACTGATGTTCAACTTGCTGGGCTTGTGAATAAAACAAAGTTAAAATCATTGAATGATACTCAAATTTTTTACGATAAATAAATTTATTTGTCCAGAAATGATTGAATGGGAGCTGAAATGATGAGTGAATTGAAAATGATCAGCGAAAATCATTTAAAAGAACTTTACTTAGATCTTTTTCCCCTTGCACTGCAAAATACTGACTAAGCATCCTCTTAAATTTTGATGAAAAACGTGTGTTTTTGTAAGTGGTGGTTAAACCGTAGTTCACAATCACAAGTGTGAGCAATTAAATAGATAAAAGCTATAAATGTGATTTGATTTGCAAAGCGCTGAGGGCCAATCTTACTATCCTCTCCACAATGCCTGCAATTAAATCAACATAATAACCACAATCACAATTACAAATAACAAATCATATTCAGAATAACAAATAGCATACTAATTTTCATAATCAAATACCTATTGTTAAATATGACTATTTAAAACAACAACTCTTAAGATATTGTGCTAAAGGTTCCTAAATTATTTTTAACGCAGGAAATTTTTTTACATACCATATCACAAGATTATTACTCAATAATAATTTCTGAAATAAACCGAAGAATTTTTAGATAGAAATTTTTACTCACAAATTACTGAATTTTCCTCAAATCACAAATTTACTCACAAATTACTGAATTTTCCTTTACTGATTGTAGGCATACAATTCTAAAAATTTGATAATTTTTTGAAATTTTCTAAACTAAAATTTATTAAAAAAAAAGAGAGCATTTTAAAGAACCTTTTGAAATATAGAACGCAGCACATTGATATTTAAAAATTAAATAAATAAATAAAAATTTAACCAGTTGAGAAAAAGGGTAATTTTTGGTCATTTTTTAACTAAGACATTTATAAGTCATTTTTAATAAACATTTTACAATGCAATATTTTTATTTTTTTAATAGTTCCATCTAAAAGCAAAATATTCAGTAAACTAACAATAATAAATATAAATAATTTTGATATGAGTGTATATATTTATGAAAATAAGAATAAATTAAATTCAAATAAAAAAATAAATTGTTAAAACAATTTAAAAATTCTGTTTAAAACTACAATAAATACTATGAAAATATTTTTTATGGTATAAATGAGAAAGAAACAGTTTTTTTATGGAAGAAATTGTAACCCTGATTTATATATGGAGAGTTTTTGCAGAAGAACGACAGGAGGAGTGCTTGAATACAATTCTAATGAATTATAATTAATTGCTATTATATGCTCGAATTGTAATGAATTATAATATTCTATTTATAATTCTAATGAAGGTTTTGAAAATAATGAGGGGATATGAATAACATTTTGTGAAAAAAGTATGAGACCAGCAATTTTTTAGGTGAGGTATCTTTGTTTGTTTACATATTATGTGTACAAATTACTTTATTTCTATTTTTTTCAACCCATAAAACATTCAATCAACTGATGCATAAATATCAAACATGATGCTTAAGGCGTTTTCTCCAAATTGTAACAAATCTGTAGGTACTTTCTACTTCATTATTAGCATCAGGTGTAGCTGTTTTTATTTTAAAAACAAAGTAACTTTTTTTTAAATGTGGATAGAACTTCTGAACGATAGAAATGGAAATCGGCCAGTACAAAAAACTATATAATAATTTATATATACACCTGTGACGCCCGGTGGCTGAGCGTTAGCGCTCCGTGCTGTCGTGCCACAGGTCCCTGGTTCGATCCTCGGGCCGGGCAAGGTTGACTTAGCCTTTCATCCCTTCAGTGGGTCGATAAATGAGTACCAAGCATGCTTGGGAACTAAACACTGGGTGTTCCGCGTTTGGCTGACATTTGCTCCTGCACTCCACAGCCCAAGGTAAAGAAGACTGAGATGGGCACAGTATGCCTTGGCCCTCTATGGGCTGTCGCGCCGCTGAGTTTAGTTTTTTTTATATACACTTGTATTTGATATAATATTCTTTTAATGTCAATATACGAGTACTATTAACATTAATAGAATAGCATTTGTGATGGGATCATTAAAACAAGAAAATACATACAGGAAAATGAAAGACCCATAATGATAGATCGATGTAACAAAAGTAGGACGCATTTCCTTTGAGGTATAAGTTGATGAACGAATGTTTAATGTATTTTAAGTAATAATTTGCATTTTTTTCAAGTGTCACCTTTTTTTTAAAAAATAATAATCACTACACCTCAAACATTATTATAATTATTTTTACATTTATTTTCCTGGTTTTTCCTTCCCCAAACTTCTTACTACTAATGTTGGTTGGAAAATGTGGTAGTTAAAATTAATATAAATATAGATTAATATTGATAGTGTCCCATATCTGCTTCAGTAAGAGAGATCATCCAAACCGAGAGAGTTGGACGACAATTTTAAAAAGATATATTAAAATACTCATATTAAATTTCAAAAATCTAATTAGAAGTAAAAATACTCACCAGGTCCATTCAGTAAAATAAATATAGTGAAAAAAGGTACTGTGATGAACAATACCCCCATGTAAAATGCAAATGCTGGTTTTCTCATTATCTGATCTAATTAAATGCATCAAACTTAACGAAACCTTTTAATTTTTCCTCACTCGTGAAGAAAATTAAATCTAGAATAGAATTTATTTTAGTTTTCGCCATAACAGCAAGAAAAATTGTTTTTGAAACACAATAAACTCACAAAACAGATATTTATTTTCTAACATACTTTTCTCAAATTCATAATTTGGGCAGGACTTTCACCCGTAATTCTGATTAAACCGTAAGAAAAATCATATAACTTCTTTCTAGTTAATAGTAATTTTAAGAGAAATCAATAAAGCTAAAACAGAACGGCATAATTTATCTTTAAACTTTGTTTCGCTAGTTTTGCCAAGACACATATAGGCAAAACTTACTCCAATATAAATATTTACACATTATCAGATATACCTTGCATGTAAACATTTCCAGCTACTTATTTTTGTGTTATAAAAGAGTGATTAGGAATAAATAAAAGCAGTATTTTTCATTTATGGATCATTCTCATTGCTGAGAAAGAGCACCATGTTCACGCATGCGAATTCGAACTTGTGAAAGTGATCCTGATTGATGCTTTTTTTTCGAGGGTAAAGTCTCTCAAAAAAATATTAGAGTACCTTCAAAAAAATTTCACAAGCGCAAAACGACAACACGGTTCCAAGCAGATCACCGAAGTCAAGCATCACTGGCTGCTGTCAGTCTGCGGGAGGGTGACCACTTGGATTAGTCGGCGTAGGGACCGAGGGTGTGCGGTATTGATCCTCGTTAAACTGTTCCACCGTAAAGTGCTCGACTTCGCGTACAGGTGTCGGGCTACCGAAGCGGCGGTTTCATCCCCTCTGCAGACGATCAAAATTGTGATGGCATGTCTTCGGATGCCCAGACCGCCGCCACTAGCCTATTGTGCAGCTCTAGTGCCACGTAAATTAACTACAACAACTACAACAAGCAGAGACGGTGGTTTGATTCTTGGAAAATTCTCACTGCACTCAAATTACCCACGCACATCCACACAACTACTTGCATCGCATCCGCGGAGGAATGATTTGCAAACACAATCTATTGTACTAAATTGTTTTATTCGATCAAACAATGATATTTTCCAATCTCTGCATTACAAGTGTTGTAAGACGACGGAGAGTTATCCTACTCATTTACATAATAATTCTCGTAGTGTCAAGCAATAAAATTTTCAAACTTGGCCATACAAGTGTTGTAAAAAAATGGGGGAACGGTCTCAAAAAAGACCTTCTCTAATTTTTTTACCCAACCTTCTTTGGTTGTTGTTGTAGTTCATTTACGTCGCACTAGAGCTGCACAATGAGCTATTGGCGACGGACTGGGAAACCCTGCGGATGATCGTAAGACATGCCATCACAATTTTGATCCTCTGCAGAGGGGATGGCACCCCCGCTTCGGTAGTCCAACGACCTGCACGCGAAGTCGAGCACTTTACGGTAGAACAGCTTATCAAGGATCAATACCGCACACCCTCGGTCCCTATGCAGACTGATCCAAGTGGTCACCTACCCGCACACTGACCGCAACCGGTGATGCTTGACTTCGGTGATCTGCTGGGAACCGTGTCTTAACGATCAGTCCTCTGCGGGACCCAGCCTTCTTTGAAAAAGGGTTGGAAAAACCTAACAAATCATAATCATGCGGGAAACTTTGGAATTTCCGCAATTGTCCATCATCAGTGTTTGGTGGTGTCTACAGGGCTTGAACGTATCACTCCAAGAATTCAGCAAAATGAATCACTCCCAGAAAGCATGTAACCTTACGACAACCTTGTGTCGTAATCCCAGAAATCATGTTACCGTACGACAACCTTGTGTCTTAATTTTATTTTCATTTTAACGAAAAGGTTTGCAGTAAAAACCTTTTTTCAATGACATAAAAATATTACAATTTCCAACCTTTTCTCCTTAAAGGAAAACTAAAGGATTTTTAAAACTTTTTTAAAAAATATTGTTATTTAGGTTAAGAAAACAAGAAAATGGCAATCTTTATTTTTTGCATTTTCGTTTGTTGTCATTATTAGGTTAACAGAAATATAAAGCGAATACCTTTTTCCAAGGAAACGAAATAAGGCAAATATTAACCTTTTCAGCGAAAATATTAATAAATAATAAGAAAATATTTTGCAAAGGACCTCATTTAAGGGAAAGCAAATAAACGAGCATAAGACCATGATTTTGGATTGTTTTTTTAAGATCTGCGAAAGTACAATACGAAAACTTTCTTTTAAAGGTTTCTCGACACAAGTATAAGTAATGGTTCTTTTTTAAAAACTTTTCATTCGAACAATCTCATTAAAAAATAAATAAAAGTTTAAAAAATTTGATTCTGGAGTTTAAAATTGACTCCTCAATATTTTTTTGCACATTTTATTTTTTCTCGAATTTGGCTTTAGTTGCCCTATGCGTTGCGGCTCCTTTAAAATGTGTGGCCTTCTCTCGTTCATTTTACCTTATTGCAAACCTAATTATGGTATATCAATAAAATATCCGCGCGGGGAGAATTTTATTTAAAATATTTATATAC